CATTTACACTGACACGGTTGTCATTTATACATGGACAAATGACACTGTACATGAAAATGTAACTCAGTATATTTTCTAACTATATCATCTCATTTCTGTCTTCATGATCAGTGTGCTCTGAATTCTAAATTTGCTAATGAATAGACTGCAAGAAGTCAAGATCACTGGATCCTTCCAAATGAGGATACGTGAAGAACACTGTATATGTTGCGAAAATCCAATTATCTATGACAGATACTGGATGCAGCTGTAATGGCAATCATACTAAACATGCTTTATCTTTACTGTTTGCATCCTGTTGTACATCATGATTTGTGGTATCCTGGCCGTTAACTGCCTGAAGATGGTCCAAAATGTGGATAGAAACATGTCTGTCTATCTTTATTCCTACTGCTTCCTAAAATTCCTACAAAAATCCATCTCAGCACATGGTAAAATTAATATACAATTGCTGGTCTCTAAATGGAAATGAGGGTAAAACTGTAGCAAAGTCCTAAGTCACTGACACTTAAATTATACATACAAAGCGAAGAAACTCCATGCAGTATACAGGCCTGTCACTAATGTCTTAAAAGTAGTGTGAATTAAACAGTAAGTTTATTATTTCCTGTCAAATAATTAAATAAAAATTATATATGTCAGACTTTATAATAAACTGACAAATTTGGGTAAAACTAAAAATTTAAATAGACAAAAACATTCATTAAATATGTAAAGCCAGGCTGTACAGGGGTCTGTAATTGATTCTCTAAAATAATACAAATAAAGTGAGATGATCACAAGGCTTTTTTGTAAGTGTTAATGATATATTAAGTTTAGTACAAATCCTATCAAGTACATGCAGAAACACACTTCTTCACCCAGGATATGGTTGCATCGCAAACAAAGCAGCTTAAAGCCACTCATCGATTAAAGTCCTGCAATAAACACAACCCTTCTGCACTTAAGAACCATGAACTCTTATGTAGGCAGCAACTCTTATTAAGAAAATTACAAGTTTATGGCAGCTTCTCGGTACCTACATACCTTCTCTTTACAAAACAAGCGATTTATGTCTATGTGTATACTATATTATATTTACGCATTCTGTTACATTTCAAACTTCTATATGTATAATATAAACTCTGTCGCAAATGTAACACATTATTGTAGTTCTTGTTCCCCTTCTTTCACACTAAATGTTTCGGCCACAACTGGCCATCATCAGGTGTATCTCACTTCACATAGCTGTCACACTGCACTCAATATTAATATTTAAACTCCAGACTGACAATTGTTCATTGCTCTGTCATCAATTTGTATCTGATATCCGATATTCCAGAATTTGACAAAGGGAATTCTGGAATATCGGATACCGACTGACGACAGAGCAACGAACAATTGACAATCTGGAGTTTAAATATTAATATTGAGTGCAGTGTGACAGCTACATGACGTGAAATACACCTGATGATGGTCAGTTGCGGCCGAAACATGTAGTATGAAAGAAGGGGAACAAGAACTACAATAAAGTGTTAGATTTGCGATGGAGTTTGTATTATACATATAGAAGTATGTGTATACATCTAAAGCAGTTTGCACCTATCTAAAATACCAAAAATTTTAAAGAAGGAACAACACTCAAACTAAGAAATTAAAGTTTACTTATGTAATTAAAAAGAAATAGAAGAAACGGGTCACATCACATCCAAAAACATTACTGCAATACTTGCTGATCATTTCAAAACCCACTGACTCTTGCATGTATTAGCAAGAGTAGAGAGTAAATTCCATAATATTTTGGGGGGTCCTCTATTAGGTCTACATAAGGAAACAAGAGGAAGAATACACAGAATATTAACATTTTTATTTTAGGGTATAATTTTAGTACCTTCTAATTTTAATTAATTACTTTTCCTCATGAACATGTATAGAAAGAACACACACAACTGTTGAAGTATGGTGCAATTCTGTAAATACATTTAAAACTACAATAAAAAATCCACCATATTTATGAGTTACTTAATTCACCACAGATTTTATAATTCTGTGGAAATAATGACATTATACATAAATACAACATTTCTGAATAACAAGTATTTACAACTGTAAGAATGTAATTTTATAAGATTTATCTTTAATTTATCTTAAACAGTTATAGGTGCAAACTGGTAGATACTCCCAGGTTCTGTGCTATCATGCTGTGGATATGATAAAACACAAGCAATGTGTTATAGGACCAGGAGCTTAGCTTCGTCTTGTTTTCCTGAGGTAGTAATGAAATATCCAACTTTTAAGTTAGCATGGTGCCTATAGGGTAGTAAAGAAATTCAACTAATTAGCTTATTAATAACATTTTAAGCAATGAAGACTTGATGTGAATAGATATGAAACTCATAGGAAGGTAGTTATTTTCATGAACCCTACCACAATAATTCATAAGAATGAAATAAAACCAGAAATGGTGTTCAAAATTACTATATTCAGTACAAAAACACAATTCTAAAATGCTCAAACATAGTGAGTTGGGTATACTGTCATGTGTATGAATCATTACAGATGGGATTTGAATGGATAATTTGATTTATTGAACACTTACTGATTGTAAATGCAAGTTACATGTTGCATGTGTACAGGCCATTACCTAGCAACAAGTATATATGCTACAATACTATGTATTATTTTTATGCTAAATACAAGTTATTCACTATTCAATTCACAATCTCTGTTCTTTGAACACACTAACCAATGTCTCTAAAATCTTCCTTAAACCTTCTTTGCTTTACATTCACACACAAGAGCAGTAAGTCAATATTTATGTGCAATAAAGCAGTAATATAATGGATAGAAAGGAACACTAAACTTAAAATACCTTTCCCTACTTTCTTCTACTTTCCTAAACCATTAAAAAGAACATTTAAGAATTCTTTACAATATCAATTTGCTTATATTTTATTTAATATAGTCCCTCACCACAACTTAAATGCAGGCTTTTCCTTTACTTGAATTAAAAGAACTGATATTATTATTAAGATTATCGTCTTCTGTAATGCAGTGCTGAGTAGCTTGACAAATAACTATCAGTGTTTCAAAGGAATATGCTGTCTCTTTTTTCAGGGAACCCAACCTCCAGTCATCTCAAGATGTGGACGCAGCAAGTCCCTCCAAAGTGTACAAGCTATCCCTGTCACAGTCTGTGAAGGCCCACGGGGTTGTGAGACATTGAGGCTCCCACATTTTCTCTAGACAATCAGCTCGGAGATTGTGGTTAGGTTGTCAGCCTTATGCACCAGCTGTCCTTAACAGCCCAGTATGAATACACAATCCTGATTTCGGTGCAACAGCAATTCTTCTGATCTTACTTACCTCCAATATCTACTGTATAAGACACTTAAATAGAGCACACAACAGTTCAAAATGTGTTGTAATCAATATCAGAATCTATAAATCATCCTTCTCTAGTGTAATCTCTATGACAGTATGACACAGTACGTCACAGATATTTTATGCTGACTGAAAATAAACACAAGAGGAAGAATGTAAAATAGAATTTCCTGTGGCAAAGTTATTTCTATGTGCAAATGATCAGATTTCTTCTTTGCCCACTTTCTTGTATGGAAGTAGTTTATCATCATCATCATCATCATCATCATCATATTGCTTTTGTGTGGGTACAGTATGCTGCATTCTTGTTACCACATTTTATAAGTGAATATGCCTACAGATTAATATACACATGACACAATAGGAGAACTACCCATCACCACAGGACACATGGGTGCATAGATGAGCCCATACTCCAAAAACCTGAACTTACAGATGGAAGCATAGCAGTGTCGTCAGCAATTTTAGAGACACCTGACGATGACTGAGGTTGCATGAAACACGTAGTGTGCCTAAGCCACTGACGCAGAAGAGATTTTAATGCTCAAAATTTTTAAAGGTTTAAAAAAGAAAGTTGCATATAAGGTGGATAATAACGGGAATAAATAAGTGATGTGTAACAGGATGCTACAATAAAATATCTCTTCAATGTATTACAATTCCCAATACTGCATGTGCATTATGCTTAGGCAATGCTGGGTAATCACCTAGTTCTTAATAATCTATTCTTAGAACACTGAAATGCTTAACAGATTCCAAAAATTAGAAAAATTTCCTTCAATATTTCATATTCTACAAAGCCTTACAACACTCTTGTGTAATAAGACTCAGACCATACATAACAGCATTTACGCCATTACTCTACGCAACATATAAGACTTTAATTACTACATGATCAAAATTTAGCACCTACAGCATAAATATGGGTCTTTGCATGAGGCTGAGATACAATTATAGTATTTACTGCAACTCCCTCTGGACGATGTTGTATTGGGAAAGAAAAATGTCACATAATCCTTACCACCACAGTAAATTTCAACATTGAAAACAATACATAAAGTTAAGGAAAGTCAATAACCACGATGCAAGTACAAATAATTCTAAAAGCAGCATTTTACTTCATAATGTGATAGAGTGAACTGTAACTATTAACTGAAAATTATTAAGCAAAAATTTCAAATTAAAATAAAATTTGTCTAAAGTGCTAAATTAACTGACATACACATACAGCAAAACTGCAGTTAGAAAAGGTAAGCATTTGATATTACACAAAAATTCCCATCTTGCTCAGAATTACTGAATTTTTGGACTTTATACATCAGCCAGTATTCTAAAAACTAGGATACAACATTCTGGAGACTCGATCTGTTTCTGTCCTCTGGTGAGGGGGGAAACATCTACTCTGCTGGTTCCCTTAGAAAGAGTTAACCTCAATCACTGGACTGGGGTCAGCTCCTTTTAGAGGACTCAACAGAGTAGGTGTCTCTCCCCTCACCTGATGATGGAAACAGATCCAGTTCCCAAAAACTGTTTCCTAGATTTCAGAATACCGGACAATGGACAAAGTCTCAAAAACCAGTAATTCTGAGTGTTATACAGCATTCTCAGAACCCTTTAGAATTGAATTCCCATCTTACCTTGTTGGATCTTCTATATAATGTGCTGGGATTTCAAAGAGCTCAGCCTTGATATCATTCCGAAACGCAAATTCTTGGAATGTGATTTTAGCTGTGACAGTGGGTAGAATAGGAATATCTAGAACAAAACAAAACTATATAAAATTAGTAAATACATATTGTCTGCAGTGATGACATCCTTGTTATATAAATATGCTTCATTCCATTGAAATGAGGTAGGAAGTTGTGTGAAAGTGGTGACCTGAAAAATGGCATGTCTTGAAACACAGTCTTAGAACAGTTCTGCAGTAACCCTGTTTTGTGTGTGTGTGTGTGTGTGTGTGGGGGGGGTGCATGTGGGAATGGGAGTTCACTGTTCCGAAACATCTGCATCCATATTGCAAATGTCAGCCAATAAATCCTCGGAATATTTTGGTGAGAAAGTTATGACATTATTCCTGTGTTCAGTTTCTGGAGGTAAAGTTACAGAATAATATGTGTGGAAGAATTTGCAGCTTCAACAAATAATATCTGAATACAGGATTAAATGTTCAGTTGGAATCAAAGGACAGTACAACTTTTTAAGATTTACTATACTACCATGTACAGCTGACTCAGCCTCTAACAGAAATAAGTACCAGGAATCTTCTTGGGGCTAAAGGAAGGCCAGCATGCTGACAACCTCACTGCCATCTATGAGCCGACTGTCTAGAAAATGTGGGAACCCTGACATCTCACAATCCTATGGGCATATAGAGCTTATTAGAGAGATAGTTTTACCACTTTTCCCCCTGTATGTACCCGTTTAATTAACTATGTATTACTATTTTCTCTGTTCTCAGCTTTTAAATTTCCGTACATTGCTAACATCTTTCTTCCTTTGGGGATACAAAGATGCAAGTACAATAAATAAATAAATAAATATTAATTCTGTGAGACACCAGTATAACAGCATGTATAGGTTACAACCTAAGAAACTGTGTGAAGCTCATAAAGATGCAGCACAAGAAAATTCATGGTGATGTATCACTGGGAGCAGCTCGGCCTTGAATAGGCAAATTCACAGATGAGACATGACTGTATATGAACTCCATCTTTCCCATTATAGCCACCTGCACAAATGAATTCTTCAGTTCTTCTTGAATTGTCTCTCACCACAAACTGAACATGCTGAAATGGCAGTGGTAATTTTTTTACAAGCTCATTAAAATCACTCAGCACATGTCATACATGTCAACAGCTTTCTTTACATTCTGAAATGTCTTACACCGCCACTAACATCAGTACACCCATGCACCAGTGTCATACCTACTTCTACAGCAGCCTTGGATATTATGTGACATGATCAACAAATAGGGCACTTTTAGTCCAACAGCTGACAGCACTTGTGAAAACAGCAGCTCCATTTGTACAGCCCATCTGGGTAGTAAGACAACATCAGCCTAGAGTATTTGCCTTGCCTACTGGTTCTACCATTGTATTTTACACTTTCATTTGTAGCAAAGGCACATGTGAGAATGATTTGCAATAAATATGGACCCAGGCAAAACCTTCATTGCCCAGTTGTGCCATCTGAAGCCCACGTGGCTCACACTCGTGGGTACTCACCATATTGCAACCTCAGCTAGATGGTGCAACCATGAAAGATGGTTGCTTCATGGAAATTTGGTCAGCTGAAAATGAGGACCCCACTACATAATGCAAATGGATATCTATAAATGATTCTACAAATTCACTTCTGTAAGATTTGTTCTTCATGTAGGAGTTCACAGTGAATGCCAGCTGTCAAATTATATACCTCACTGTAAGAGTAAGGGGGTTCAGAATTTAATACAAAAAAAAAATGAGAGCAAGCGAAACCTTCAATTATTACCATACCTGTCACAAATTGTTCACAGTGCAAGTGGCTCATCATCATACTGGCAAGTCACACAGTGACTGCAGAACAAAACATCTGCTGTATTCACAGTGCTGCCAAGTTTCCTTTTCAATTAACTTTCTTACAAAACAGCAACTCTCCATAATATTCAAGGTCTGGCATGTGTCTTCTTCCTAAGGAACTGTAAGAATGTCTTCCTTCAGTGCACATCTTGAAGTTTTCTCTATGTATTATTGTACAACCTCTGTTACAGGCATACACTCACACCCACACCAGAGACTGAACCTCTATTAAATTACTGAAGAGTCCACCTCCTAGGATGTGATGCTAAGAAGTCTGGTAGAAGTTCATCCACTGAAACCCACCTCCACATGTACTTTAGTTCCCACCACCACCCATCCACTGAGCAACATAAGCAAGCAATGCTTTGCACCATGGTGCTTAGGGACAGAGCTCTGTGCAATGGGGACAGCCTACAAGATGTATTAGATTCTCTCAAGGTCACTTTCAGACAGAACAGCTTCCACTGGTCAATCAAGGGTGACCCAGGTTTGAAGGCACCACGAATACACAGGATCACTCATATGATCAGGTACACACTGAGCACAGAGGCCATTGATACCAAGATCAACGAGTGTATCAGTAACCACCTGGAAAAATCAGTTGTGCTGGGACATAGCATTCACAGTATCCACCTGGGATACTGTATCCAGCTCCAGAGCACCAGTATCTTCTCTACCAAATCTGGATCCATGGATTGCATCATCAGGCAGGCAAATGAGACTGAGCTCCATCCCAGAAACATAAAGAGGGAGGATGGCTTCTGCCTAAGCAAGTCATTGAAACTTCTCATATACCCCACAAAAAACACAGAAATCTCCTTAAGGGTTATCATGAAGGGATTCTCCAACCAGGATGTCAAGACCTCCTTCTATTCAAACTGACCACTAGAGTCTCATTCCTTTCCTCTTCTGCTTTTCATTCCCCTATACACAATCCCTCCAGGCCCAATTAATCATCTCTCTTCTCCTGCTGACATAGTGCTGTCCTTCTTCCATTCTATGTCTGTACTCTGCCTTCAGTTCTGGAGAGCGCCACGTGTCCTCCTGTCCATGACAGGGCTCTCTTTCCTCCTTTGCATTCTCTTTGTCCCTTTCCATACTCCACCTAATGTCCTCCTTACTCTCTGTGCCTACCTGCATCTACCACTGGTCATTTGAGATTCATTTCTCCCATCTCCCTCTAGGGATGAAAAACAGCCCTTATAAGGTCTCCCATTCCTTCTCTCTTTCCCATTTTCTTACCTTGCTCTGGGCTTCTACCCTGGCCTGTACCATTACTTTCATGCTTGGCATACTTGGCATACTCTGCTTGCTTGGCTTACTTTTTGACTCTGAAGATGAAGCCAGTACGTTACTCCAAACTCTTAGTGAACTTCTACCAGAATATGCAGCGTCATATTCCAGAAGACAGTGTACTCTTTACAGTCACCACTGTGAGAAACTAAAATTTCATGTGTAGAATTACTGTTTATAAATTATATATAGCAGTATAGCAGATGATTAAACATATGATGTTGAGTCAAATGAAAAATGTAAAAAATTTTTAAAATTTAATTTACTGAATGAAAGCAGCACACAACTATATCATGTTTCTACATAGTCTCCAATTCATTCAATACAGGTCCTCCAGCATTTACAGTTTGTATGGATTCCTCTAGAAAAAAATTCTTGTGGTTGTCTGCACAAGCACTCATGCACCGCCTGCTGTACCTCTTCATCAGAACAGAGCTTCTTTCCTTCCATCGCCTCTTTGAGTGGTCCAAACATGTGGTAATCACTTTGGGCTAGGTCTGGTGGGTATGGTGGAAGTGGAAGACACTCAAAGTGCAAGTCTCAGATTGTTGCATCTGTTGCACGGGCAGTATGGGGCCGAGCATTGTCATGTTCCAAAAGGACACCTCTAGTAAAAAGTCCACGTCTCTTTGATCTGACTGCTGGTTGAAGATGATTCTTCAAGAGATCTGAATATGAGGCATGTAGTGCTCCAAGAGTACGCCTTGTTCATCCCAAAAGAGTCAGCATAATCTTCCCTGCAGATGACTGCGTCCGGAACTTCTTGGATTTTGGTGAGGAGGAATAACACCATTCCTTGCTCATTCTTTTGTTTGCGGTTGATGGTAGTGCACCCAAGTTTCATCGCCAGTAACGATTCTCGAAAAGAAGCCATCACCTTCTGCTTCAAAGCACCGCAGAAGTTCTTCACAGGCGTCAACATGTTGTTTCAATTCTGGAGTCAGCTGCCATGGCATCCACCTTGCAGACACTTTGTGAGACTGGAGCACATCATGAATGACATGATGTGCTGATCCGTGACTCATGTTAAGAATTTCGGCTAATTCATCCACTGACACTCTGTGATCCTCCATCACTAGGCCTTCAACTGCTGCAATAGACTCAGGGGTCACAAATCTGTGCACCTGGCCTGGGCAAGGAGCATCTGCCACAGACGTCATTCTCTTTATAGCATTGGTAACATGTCTGCCAACTTATAGGACAATGGTGTGATATTTCAAATTTTTATCTCAGTTTTACGGTTTTCATTTGACTCACCTATGTATTTGTGGGGACCACTGGGTGGTATAAAGCAAAGATACATCAAGATACAAAACATTTATGCATGTGGTACACAAAATTAACTGAACATTTTGCAATAAACATCTCAAACATATCAAAGAATAATTTTGTAGGTATACTATTTCTGTTGTCTAGTAAGCATTCTGACTTTCATGCGATTTTTTACAGCAACACCATACAAGTCACTAAACATGTCACAGCCATCAAAGTATGCTAACTGGTAAAATTAAAAATATAGAACTTTTGCTTACCTATCTTGACTGGAAAGCCTGGAGGTAGTTTCATAAGAACAAACTCCCTCAGCTTACTAAAATGTTTGAAAGGAGCAATCACTTCCAGCACATTCAGTAACATATCCACAGAGAGTGGGAAGTCAGGACTCTGAAAGTTTACATAACATACTTTCATCAGCGGCTGACATATTCATCACACAGACACAAAAAACACGCAAGGAAAGGTCATTCAAATATCAGCAACCATGTATGCTGAAAAGGTTTTTTTCCCAGTGTTTCATGATAATTTTTAACTCTCGCATGGGCATGTATTACATGGTGGAGAAAAACCAACTGATTATTTCATGAATAATTTCAAATGTTATCAGAAAATGTACTGTGGAACATAAAACTGTTCAAGGAAGTAAATTCCATGACAGTGGCTGGTAAGGATGTGAAACTCCCTTTCAACAGATTACACATTCAGGAGTAAGACAGTTTTCATAATTGCAATCAAGACTTCTGTGACAAAGAGCAAGCTAAACGTTTTCATCCTCATTATCTTCATTTGTAGCCACTGGGTTTAAGCAATTAAAAATTCAAAAAATGAGCCAGCAATCACTATCAGATGGATGACATCAGAAGGTGTTGTAGGCAACAGTCTATAGAAAGAGATGTAAATGCAGCAGGGAGATTGTTAACGGGAAGTTGAGGAGCTTCAAACTTGCTGTATTACACTTGGGATAGAAAACCCTCACATAATGAATATGGAACACATCTGCATCATGGATTGTTAATTTTCTATACTAAATCTGCCTCACTGATTTTGTAAGGTGACATTAACCTTCCTGTAACATTCAGTTACCCCTTTTGTGTCAAAATGGGAGGAGACTACAAATCATACTCACACTGGTTTGCTTGGGGCTCTTAACCCAGCTGTCTCTCTCCCTGTAGCCATACCACATTTGCCTATGCTTGGACTTACCCACGTTTCTAAAGTTATTCAAAAACAAATGTACATTACTCCTATGTTCACCCGTCATGCAGTAGTCTCCCAGCCACCATAAGCAGCACCACTGATCATCCTCCTTCATGGAGATGCTATTATAGTAAAATATGTGTACATATTACAGTATCAAGCAAATAAAAGATTGATGTAACTGGCAAATCTCAATCCCCATATATGGTGGACAATGGACAGTGTACCATACTAACAATAAGCCATTACATATAAAATAGAACTCACTAAAACACAACACAGTGTAATCTCAAAATGAAAATATCTACAAAATATAATTTATTAAAAAATACGATTTCCAAAACTGTCTACTAGCAAAACCAGCAGAAGCTTCAAAGTTAAATATAAAGAACACACACACTATAAAGCACAGCAATGATAAGCTGATCTATGCAAAGTATATAGTGGACACACAACATGCATATGGGAAAAGAGAACAAATTAATGAAAGAAAAAGAAGAAACAACCTGATACATTCTTCAGTGCTATACCCTATATAAATACAACAAAGAAGTTGCAATTAGTGAATAACATGTAAGTGATGATACTGAATTACTTCATTCAATAACATAATGCTATGACTTTACAATGGTTGACATTTGTAAGTTACAAATATCCAGATGATGATAGTCTTACATATCTGTCACAGAAGCAATAGTAATACTCTTCACAAACAGGCAAGAAACATCTTAGCAACTACATATACATAATGCCTGTAAATCTATGTGACCAAATGAAATGGTGAACACAAAATAAGAATAATAGGATAAGACTCACGAGTGGCCATGACTGAGTCAGCAAGAACAACATATCTGAGTGAAAGTGTCGTCACTTGGAAGTAATTTAATCCAAGTTTCACACAGACAATACATCGTTAAGAACTGAGCAAATGAGAGATCATGCTATTCAATGAGGTTTGAAAGTTGTAGGACCATAGCAGGCATTTTACTTAGTTTAAATGTTGTTATGGCAGGTGTTGGGAATCGTGGACTCAGCGCAACGTGATAACGCATGCGTTGCAGGTAAACCATTCCCTGTGATGACATAACAGCATAGGCTAGGGGCAACAGGCCAATATACACTTCCCTGCAGTGACGCAACAGCAGAGGAGCTGTGCTAGGCAATGAGATGGTAAACACTTCCCCGCTGTGACATAACAGTGGGCGCTGCTGCTAGGGCAACAGGGAACAGTATAAGACGCTAGCTGAGGACCGAGCGGAGGGAGAGTGTGCCAACAGAAGACAGTGGTAGCCAACAGTGAGTTGTGTTGAGAGAAGCAGTGTATGTCCAGTGTGTATTGAGAGAAGACAGTGGAAGCTGACAGAAAACAGTGTGTGTGTGTGTTGACAGAAGCCAGTGGCTAGCCAGCACAGAGAGTTCGACAGTTTTACATTCTAGTGAGAGTTGTTAATACGAAACGAGTGACATTTGTGTTATAGTTATGTTGAATTGTAGTTATGGCATTGAGTCATAAAGTGATGTCATAAGACTACTCCTCGAGGTCTTGCTTCACGACAACTCTGAAGGTTACTTAACACATAAACTACAGTCATCTATATCTGCTTTAACTAGTCTTTGCTCAAGTAACAGATCTCAATAATGGCTAGGCCTATACAATGCCTTCACTATCTGTTTCCTGGCAATGGATTTTAACACAGAAGCTATCACTTCAAATCACTAGGAAGTCTTCTTGCCATTTCTTGTTCAGTCACTTTGGTATGACGACCCTCCAGAACTCCACCCAATTCTCCAGTCCTAATTCTCTCTCTCTCAAATTCATTGTACAACTGGAATCTCCTGGTCCAAATTCGCTACTGAATTGCCAGTTATTCTGGACCCTCATTATATAGCTGCAGCACAGATCACACAGAAAACCTCTTCTTTTATTGTAGAGATGAATATATTATGCAACTGCCTAGCACCAGTAGAAAAGTAAAGTAAAAAGTAAAGCCATCCCTGTAACAGGCCATGAAGGCCCACAGAGTTGTGAGATGTTGAGGGTCCCACATTATCTAGACAATCGGCTCAAAGATGGCGGTAAGGTTGTCAGTCTTATGCACCGGCCGCGCTTTACTCCCCAGGAAAATTATTTATTTAATTCCTGGTACTCATTTCTGTTAGAGGCTGAGTGAACCCCAGGGCCATAGTGCGGCCAGAAGGATTAGGTCAACTGAAAAAATCCAATGACCTCGTTGGTATTTGAACCCACGACCTTCCGAATTGTAGCATAGTGCCTTAACCACTATGCTACTGCGTGCACCTGCCTAGCACCAGTCTCAACACATATTGTTATAACAGTAGACTCCTTCTTATTGTCATGCAATAACAGGGGAAGGCGTTTACTGGCCACTTCATTGAAACAGCAGTTCTTCTATTGTTGCCTGCATATTTGTTGCCACGAGAATGTGTTTAGCGACCCGTTGCCTGGCAGTGCATCGTAATATCTCAGTAACGATCTTTTAGGGAATGGAAAAGTCACCCCTGTACTTAATTGAGCACACCATGAAGGCATATGAGACAGCGGAGACTCAACTAACACATGCTTACATTGGCACTAGACATAGTTAAGTAGTCAGCTTCATGCCTCATTAATTTACTCCTCAGGAAAGAATACCAGCATCCTTTGCATAGGATACTGCATGGAAAAGAAGAACACCTACTCGTGCTGAGAGCTGAACCCTAATTCCCCACAGATTCAGCTCACAGCCTAATCCTATAATGAACGGTATACAGAAAAGCTCTAGAGAGAGAAAATCAAAGAAGTACAGCACAGAAAATTTCAGAGTTGCAGAATGACAAATGAATTGTCTATAGGGGTGTCAAAATGTCTATGTGCATGTGTGTATCTCTGTATTTATTCTTGCATGTGTGCGCAAGAATATGGTATTTATGTATGACTTTCTCTACTTTCTACATAAATACAAGAATGATCTAAAAGAGGGAAGCCAAAAACAAGTAATGTGGGACATAAACCAAAGCATATAATAACACACATTTCTTTTCACTTACCATAGCAACAGTAGCCTTGAAAGCTTTACTGGTTTCTTTGTACACTAGATTTCGTCCTAATGTTGGATGGTTTCCTGGTTCACTTCCTATGTACTCCTCCCATGATACTTTGCTCTCAGGAGGGGGTGACAATGACAGCCTCCTTACAGGCTGCAATCCAACAATGAAAGTTCAAAAACTTAGAAGAGTAATCTCTCAAATGATTACTTAGAATGGTATCACAGCTTTCAAATCTATCATACATAATGCACAAAATTCCACTAACACAAAGCCCACCATTAATTGGCAACAGAAACTTATCACATTCCAAGAGTGGCTAACTCCATGGCATAGGTTTTGCATCAGCAGTCAATAATGATTTAACCCTTCAAGAAACTCCTTATTTAAAACCTGATACCGCCACAAAACCCTAACAATGAGATGCAGGCTTCAAGGTCTCTTTGAGCAAATGACAAATGGCATGCAAGTAGTGAATTTATCTGCATGGAAGATAACCTGAAATCTATGACAACCTCCCACTAAGAAACATATCTGCACATAAATTGAGACTTCCTATATTAATTTCACAAAACTGTTAAAAGCAAATATGTGAAAGATAGTAAACACATGAAAACATAAATCATCATCTCCTTTCTCACATTTTCTGTCTTCACCATTTCCACCTTCATCTCTCCGTGTGGAATTATAGCTTCCGATTCAGAACTCCAGTGTTTCTTTGGACAAATTCACTGTACCTCATTAACTACTACCATTGAAACTATACATGTCCCATTTTCTCACTTCATATGCTGCCAGCATGGTCAGAATTTGCTGCATTTTAGAAACTTAACCCACTAAAAGCCTAAACTGTATAAAAAATTAACACATTGAAGAGTTCTATCTTCTGGAATAGAATAATACTATGCGGTCTGGCAAACATCAAATAACTTTTCAGAGCATACCATGGCCTCCATTTTCAGGGTCAAGAATAAGATAAGCAAGACACTGCATAAAGCAGAGACTCAAATCCATCAAACAACATATTTTCATATGCATATATATCTCCAAAAATGAGAGGCAGAGGAATCTAATGCTCCATTTGGGTAAATATGACACTGAATCACAATACAGATTTCATGTTAGGGTTAGACTCTTGTTCACTAAATAAGGATACAATGCTAAACATAAAACACTAAATTGGGAAACATTATTAGTAAGTGGCTTTGGCTGGTATCATAAAATATGAACATGAAATTGAAGATATCTTGGATCAAGAAATCTTATATCGGGATTCTACTGAATACACATGGTAAGGTAACATTGTCCCTGTGCTTAACCAATTAAGTACTATGCCATGAAGGTGTATGGGGAGTGGATGTATAGATCCACATTTTCTTGACCTCAGCACTAGCTGGATGTGAGTGGTCAGCTTCACACCCCAGTCTCTTTACCCCCAGGGAAACAGCCCAGAGTACCCAGTGAATAGGAGATTGAGTGGGCCCCAGAGCCGGTCTCGAAGACATGCAGAAGAGAAAATTTTTGACCCTACCACTACTTCAACTCTGACCCCTGGGTCATCCAGCCTGTAGCCAGCCATTATACTGACTATACTGAATAAGTACACCCAATGAGAATTAACAAAATGCAGTTAAAGGAAGAAACTGTAATGCAGTCACAACAACTATACTTGTACCTCTCCATTATTATCGAAACCTTGTGTGTTGCCTTTGGTAAAGCTTTCCATAATGGCTTTGTTCTTTTGGAGGTCCTCTTCTGATAGATGTTCTCGTCGTTTCCTTGACTCAAGGAGCATACCATTGATGACATAAAATTCTGAATGGAATGGCCCAACCATTTCCTGCAAAGTTTACAGTATTCTTTTTCAAAACTGAAATAATCAGGTTTGTAATGATGTTGAACAACATGCATTACATACAATTTTGTATCTTATGCTGGGAAAATGGACATGATATTTTACAGTCATTTTCTTAAGATCATACTGCTAGTAAAAGAAATGTGTGCTTCACTAGGGAAACATCCACAACACCCACCATCTGAAAACAGTATCTACTGCAACAGCCATTATAACAGTCCAAGGTCTGTGGATGAATAGCTGAAAATAAAGACACTCTTCTCTGGTCATGCTTTCTCAAACATGAATGCCAACAAGGTTGGCCAAGGACAGCCCCCCCAAAAAAACTGGGAAAAGTGAAAGCATCTTCTTCCAAAAGAGGAATAACAGTATAATGGTAAAACAAAAGGTTGCTACCACAAGACCTTTTACAACTGAAATGAACAATGTGACATCAAAATTCCCAACAAGATACAACTTCAAAGCCAAGCTGTCCTCAGCTACACAGAGCACATGAATGGATTGGGCAGAATTAATCACATCACAGCATCCTATCAATTTATGAAGCAAACAAAAAGTGTTTTAAAAGGTGTTTTCCAGATCCATTGGGTGGTAAACATCAATTTGTACCTATAATATAGGACTCTTCAGGAGCAGCAGCAGAAGTCACCACACTCTGACAAACATTATCAACAGTGCCAAGCTGAGGAACACTGATGAACAGAAAGGTGACTTCGGGAAACATAAGGAAGAGGAACTGTGGACGACCATGCCAGGAACCACCAGAGTAGCTAAACCAGAAACAGCACTCATCAGGAAGTAGGAAAAGGGTTCAATGAGGTGTCTGTGTGCTGCAAGGAAACTGAACAGAGAAATAATATGCTACTGTAAAACAAGCATAACATACACCCATCCTTTCCACATAACTCCTGCTCTGAAGTATTATCACACCCTGCAAAATAACTAAATTTGTATTTTACCAACTAATTTCTTCATTCTTTATATGCACACAGAAAGCATGAAACCATAAACTCACATATTAAAGCATGGAACCATAAACTCATATATTTAAGCATGAAACCATTAATTCACATATTTATTTTATAACAGTATTTCACAACTTTAATTTTAGACCTAAAAATAGTAAGGATTAATCATATCACACTAACATTTAACTTTGTAGTGCAATCATGACTACAAATACTCTCTGTGCTCCATAGTACATACCATTTCATACCATTCATTAATATTAGAATTTGAATCATATATTTAGGTTCCGGGGCCCATCCCACGAGACTCCCCTTTCAGAATTTTATACTAGGCTGAGTTGTAGTTTACCTCCTGAATGCATCCAAACAGTTCAATCTATTCCTAATACACAATATTAGGTGAAATTTCTCAGTCATGTTTCACCATTCCCAATTGAACCACAGTGACTATCAAACTTTTAATTAATTGTATAAATCACAATCACCAAAGGAAGAGAATGGTCCCTATATCAAACTTTTTTATTCAAATAAAATATAAGAATATAGGCCTATTATATACAGAATGTCCAGCCTCAAATGTCAATAAAATAAAATATTATATATGAGAAATGACAGCAGACATTAAGCTGTAAGTATTTTTGTGCAGTGTGGTAACTCTCCAAGTATTTTTTTCCTCCCTGCTTGGTCAAGTCACCTTCTATGCGCATGCCTGTTCGGAGCAGCTCCATCTTGTTTTGTTTCTGTTGAAGAGAAGATGCACTCCCTGTGGCAGAAAGTGGATTGCATTCTATGGTTGGCAGAGTTTAAATCATACACCCATGTTTGATGCAAGTTTAATCAGGTGGACCTGAACCAAGCAGCATCGATTTACAGATCTCTGATGCAATGGGATGAGCATCTGAAAGAGATGGAGTGTCTTGTGACAAAACAGACCTCTTTATCACATGGTGTTCCATGACAATGTCAAATGCATATGTAAAACACTTCCAAGGAACCCTCACAAGTCTGTTCACTATGCAAGTTTAGAATTAGACCTGCATCATTCAACTGTGCATGATTATTGGCACAAGAGAGTAAAACTGCATGCTTACAAGCTTCAGTTGGTCCAGAAAACGAGTACAGATCAGGATTAAAAAAAACTGTCTGCTTCAGAAATGCTTTCCTACAATGAGCTCTGCCTCAACAGAATATGAATGGCTAACAGATACAGTTCCTATCTGCAGAGGAGCAACAATCCTCATGAAGTTATTGAACATGAGCATGATTCACGAGAGCTCAACATGTGGTGACCTGTGACGAAAAATAAAACTTTGGACCTCTTATTTTTTTATGAAACTACAGTGACTAATGAAAAGTTGCTAGCTACCACAGAGGACACTACTTTGCGTCAGATTCCAGCAGAAACAGTTTTGCAGTTAAATGGTGACCCAAATCACTCCTCCTCATGTGTCTGTGCCTCTCTAGACAAGGAGTCTCCTGATCACTGGTTACAAAGAGGAAGTCCACTTCCCTGGCCCCTCATTCTCCAGATCTCACTCCTTCAGGTTTCTGCTTTGAGGGGGGGGGGATTGTAAAAGACAATGTTTATTAAAAAAAGACATATGAGACATGTGAAAGTACTGTTGGGGCTCACACTGTCTTACCAACGATGTTCTCACCAATACCTGGTAAGAAAGTTAATATCAGTTGAAGTGTGTCACATCTCTAATGGTGCGCCTAAGCACGTAAGAAGTTTGGTGAGGTGAGGTGCAGAATCTGAAAATGTATCAGTTACTCCAAAATGCTTAGTGACGAAAGCTACATAATATTAAATTTTACTGACATTTAGGGCTGGACACCCTACATATATAAGTAAGGTTATGTTTTCTGAATAGATTAATACCATGAGTACAAAAGTGATGAATATTTAAACTTATTTATATAATGGGACAGGAGATGTTTTTAATAATTTGTGCCTAGTACAGAATACATGCTGACAATGTTACATATCAGGTTCATTGCTGAGCCCGTTCCTTTCTTTATTTTCAACTATGTCAACATCCAACATCCCTAGTTCACACATACAGGTCATACACAGCAGTAGCAGTAAAAATCTGTCTTACATAACAATGCAAGCTCTTTTCCAGTCATAATTCAAAACGATGATAAATTTCATGTTGCAGAATCCTTTTTCATGGAAAATGAAGAATTAAGCTACAACAGTTAATTTTGTTGTTCAAATGTAAAGCTCAATTCAATTACTGATTCAGGGCTTCCAAAAGCAAAATTCTTTTATTCAAAAATCTGTCTTAATAATTTTCAAATATCTCTTTTGGACAGTAATAACAAACTTTCACACAAAGGAATATTCTGCAGGCCTATGGCAGAAATTATTTCAAGCAATTTGGCATTGTCTTCGTTAACATTTTTTAAGTGCTGCATCACTGTCGGGAACATTCAGCACTTGAAATTTTTGGATCCTTGGATAGATATATTCTGCAGCTGAAATGCATTACCACCTTTTTCTTGTAGTTTCTGTTTTTTTCCTTATAAAATCAAGTTTGGTTTATTAAGGACTGAGATGTCACCAGCTAAGTAAATTGTAAAATTGACCATGCCACTACAAATGATGCGATACAAAATCCAAAGGGGTTATTTCTTGCCCCTGTTACTGAAGAAGTTCTTCAGGTTAGTAGTAAACTAAAAACGAAAATCTCAGTGGGTTATGATGAGATCCCAGATATGATAGTTAAATAATGTATCCAAACCACAAAAAAGCCTTTGACTTTTATATTTAATCTGTCACTAAATTCTGGCATCTTTCCAAATCAAATGAAGATTGCAAAAGTTTGATCTATTTTTAAAAAAGGTCAGAAACAAAATATTGCAAATTATAGACCAATCTCAATTTCGTCTGTTTTTTTTAAATTCTTGAAACAATGATGTACAATAGAGTTGTAAATTTCTTAAATAAATTCAATCTGATATCAAATGCTCAAAATGGTTTTAGATAAAATAAATCCACATTTACATCAATTCAAACTTTCGTTGGAGAAATTCAGAAAACTCTAGATAATAAACAACTGGCCTTTGGTATGTTTTTGAATCTATCAAAGGCTTTTGATGTCATTAATCATAACTTGCTGCTCACAAAGTTGGAACCATATGGACTGAGAGGAATATCTAATGCATGGATGAGATTGTATCTTACAGACGGATCACAGTTAGTTGAAATTCACTATATGGATCAAAAGACTACTAAAGACAGTTACCTCTTCCCTTAAAGCAATTAAATATGGTGTACCTCAAGGTTCTGTTTAGGGACCCCTTTCATTCCTATTATTTATAAATTTGCTGACAATACAAATATATTGATTACTGGAAAAAATATCTTATCATTAAATGAAAAAATTCAAAATGTAAAGAATCAATTAGAAAATTGGTTTTATGAAAATCGTTTAATAATAAACACGGATAAGTCAAAGGTTATATTTTTTTCAGGGAAGTAGATCTATTCCAAGTACCAGAGCCCTTTCTTATATAAATAATAAGGAGGTGGTTTGTTCAGTGGATGTAAAATTTTTGGGTATTTGCATTACCGAAGATTTACGTTGGGCAACCCACACCCAATATGTGGGTCAAAAACTTAGCGAGACTATCTATTTGATAAAATCCCTACGGGACTCAGTGAGCCAAACTGTTTTAAGAAGTGTGCATCTTGCAAAATTTGAGTCCGTGTTGAAATACGGTATTATTTTTTGTGGTGGGGTGCAAAAGGACTCTGAAACTCTATTTAAACTGCAGAAAAAATATGTAAGGGTGGTAAAAGGTGTTAAAAATAAAGTTTCCTGTAGAAATTTGTTCCATGAATTAAAGATTTTAACTGTTACTTCCTTATATATTTTTCAGATCCTATGTTTTATAATGAAAATTAAGATTTATACCACTCAGTATTCTGATGTTCATGGCTATAACACTATTCATAAACGCAATTTGTATGTACAATTTTGTAATACTGAGTGTAGCAAGAGAGGGGTGATTAGTATGGGAACCAAAATATTTAATGGCCTTCCAACTGAATTAAAGAATGTAATAAATTTTAATGTTCTTAAGAAGAAACTTAAGAATCATTTGTTGTGTAATGCCTTCTATTATCTTCAAGAATTTTTTAATAATTGTTGACATGGACTGCTTGTTGATAAATCTATTTTTATGTCTTTTTTGGAGTATTTACTACTATTAATAATTGCAGACATAGACTGCTTGTTAATAAATCTGTCTATATGTTTAAAATATTTATTGTTATGTCTCATTTGGTGTATTTATTATTCTTAAATTAAGTTAAAAAAGTACTTTGAAATGTATTGCTATATTATAGTGATAAATCACTGTGTGAATGTTATGTTATTTTTGACGTGAAGTTGTTATTATTTTATATGTCCAATTGTAATTCTCTACAGCTATGGATGAAATAAATAATAATAAAAAGTATGCCAACTTTATTATCCAACAGTTATCAGAGAAATTCACTACTCTCCCTAATATTGTATTTAAGCATCCTGTTGTATTTCTATAACATTCACATAGAATATTTATATCACAGTTCTGTCAACAATGCAACCACTTTATTCCTTAGAATTTTCACTTTTTATGTGTTTCGGCCCCTAAACAGTTTTGGCAAATTAAAGTATGTGACGATGACTGGTTGGGGCCGAAACATGTAAAAAGTGAAAATTCTAAGGAATAAAGTGGTTGCATTGTTGACAGAACAGTAACATAAATATTCTATGTGAATATTACTCTCTTTAAACCTAGAAAATGTTAATATATTTCAGTGTTTCTAAATTCTAGTTAGTACACCCCTTGTGACAACAAACAACCTTCAATACAATGAAGTAAATGTGCATGATTTGCTTAAATTTCAGAACATAGTATTTTAAAACCCCTGATTTTCACAAAGCACAAAACAATGACCCCAAACATCAAAATAACTGGTTGCCTCAAATAATCATTCAACAATGCTACTATGTCTTTCTATCACATGTCCAGCACCACAGCTGGTAATTCCTTCCAAATTAAGATCAGTTTAACTTACGCTATTCAATATGGATTCTTCTGTTGTGAATGCTAATCAAGTTGAGTTTCATGGTAAATTTAAACAATTCAGCAAATCTTCCATAAAATCGCCTTGCCATACATGTCTCACATGCTGTATAACTTGAGATATCAGTGCTCTCATCAAGTTGGAGAGCAATATCAGTATGAGGCTGAACCAAGCACTGGGCACTGTTTATAAATGTTCTGCAACAGCAGGCCCTGTGTCAAGATACTGTGTTATCACTAAGAGGCATAATTTTTAATTTTTCATAAATTTATCAACGAAAATTGTACACACCATATCCATACAAGCTGGAAAAATATTTTTTTCAGAAATTGTACACGCCATTCATTTCTCTTTTGCTACATGATACACAACCGCATATGGTGACAGAGTGGGATCATACAGATTTGTCTAGTAGCAATGCTTTAGATGTGTATGTTTGGTTTGATCCTTGATCAGGACACCAACTGTCCTGACTGAGATTTACTGTGGTTTACCTCAGCGCCTCCTGCTAAATGCTGGAATACAATAGTGATCAGGCCAGCACCACCTCCTTTCAAACCTTTTCCAATTCAAGATTTTAGAAATCATTCTACCAATCAACACTATACTAGCTACTAAAACCATCATAAAATAACCCATAGGAAAAACGCAGTGGGGCTTTACCAAAAAGAAGCTTTAATATGACAATACTACATTGGTAACTTTTAAATCTTGTTTCCTTCTCTGAGTATACTCAAGAGGTATATCACTAATTTCAGCAAGAGCTGTCTCTAAATGTCTTTAATTCTGATGTTTTAAACTATTCTTGGCAAGAGCTCTTACATATCATGCACTAAAGCTTGGCATTTTTGTTTTATCTGTCCAACCAACAAAACCATGTTTGAAACATCTTCATTAAACACAGCCTTATGTTCATTTCTCGGCCCACTCTCTTGAGAGTACCATTCTGTGTATTCTCCATTTCAACTTTCGAACTAGCGGACTTATTTCCCTTTTAGTATAAAAAAATAACATCAGACACATTAATCCCTGAGATTAGAGCAACACTGAAACCCTTTAATTTACGGTCCTGAAATGAGCTTGAGAAACTGAGAGAGAAAATAAAGCTCTCAAAGGAAAAGAGTGTAAATTATTATGAATGGAAAAGCATGAGACATGGTCAATGAAGGATGTTCAAAATTGTTACACCAAAGCAAACAAACCAAACTGCAATGATTACAGGATCAGGGACAAATAAATTGAGACATGAAGCTAGAAGATATTTCTGGAACAAAACTGGGTGATATCTGAAAGATAAAATTAATTCGCTTGTAACACACAGCAAAATATCAGAGATTTATATTGAGGTGTAATTAATTTAAGAAGGGTTACCAATCTAAAACTAACTTTCAAGAGATGAAAAGAGAGGTCTGCTTGCAGATTTCCATAACATTTTGTACAGGGGGAAGAATTATTCTTCTCTGCTACTGATTGTACATAGGTCTAGTGATGTCAGACAGACAAAAATACATACAGCTAAACCATTCATGTCTCATGCTTGTCCTTTCGAGGTACATACTGCTACTGAAAAGTTGAATAGGTATAAAATGCAAGGTACTGACAAAATTCTGACAGATCTGATCCAAGCAGGAGGTGAAGCATTGTGTTCGAAGATCCATAACCTCATTAATTCCATTTGGAATAAGGAAAAATTACCTCAGCAGTGGAAGAAGTCAATTACTTTGCCTATTTATAAGGAGGGTGATAAAACTGACTGTAGATATTACTGAGACATATCACTGTTACTAATTTCATAAAAAACTTTATGCATTATCCTTCCTTCAAGGTTAACTCCATATTGGCCAATTACCACCTAAACCTATCCTCCGACAAGATGGGGTGCCACCACATTTCTGCCACCATGTTAGGAATCAACTGGACAGAGACGTCTGGGAGATGGATCAACAGAGGTGGACCAATTGCTTGGCTTCCTAGATCGCCACATTTAACACAGCTGGATTTTTTCTTGTGGGGTTATCTGAAGAACACTGTCTTATCAGGTTAAGATCAACAACCTTCAACAGGTGAATGCCCACATAAGGGACACTGTGGTATTGGTAACACCAAACATGCTTCAAGTAATGCGGAGAACAAGATTAAATATAGTCTGGATATTTGTTGTGCCACCAAGGGAGCCCACATTGAAATTTACTGAGAAAGTTGTATACTAAGAAAAAACTTTGATAGCTTCCCTATGTAATGGTGTAACCCATAAATGTGTATAATAAATGTTTTCTGAGATATAATTATTTTATTTTTGATACCTTTCATCCAGACACTCTGTATAGGTATTGGTGTGATGTAAATTGCTTCATGTGTTATGTCACTCAAGTCTGATCAATAATTCAATGTGTTTATTCTCACCCATATCCACGTGCAGCAAAGTATTCGTTGAATGTGGGTTAAACTGTGCATGCACAGCAAATTATGATCAGAATGAGTGATCAGTGTTTGTGGGTTGGCGAGTGGGACTTTTCTTGTAAAGAACAGCTCCTAATTATCAGTCAATTGTGAACAGAAGAGGTTATGAGCATGTAAGAAAATACTTAAAGTCTTAAGTTCAGATACTAATGTTAATTATGACAATAGTGTTAAATAATTCTTCCTTATTTTCATATGCCCATGATACCAACTTCAAAGCAGAAAGAATACTGTAGTACCTGCAGTATTATTTAAACATTAGTGTCATATCATATTACATGTGCAAAAAGAAGTTTGGGAATGGGTTTATAGTTACATATTTCAATCCTTTTTGGATATGAGTGCCCATTCTAATGAGGATTTTTATGAATTTTATATATATATTCATAATATCAACACTGTACTGCACTTTCTATTTTATATTTTTATCTCTGACAGTAAAAAGAAAAGTAAAGTAAAGTAAAGCTATCCTTGTAACAGGCTGTGAAGGCCCATAGGGTTGTGAGACGTTGAGGGTCCCACATTATCTAGACAATCGGCTCAAAGATGGCGGTAAGGTTGTCAGGCTTACGCGCCATCCGCTCTTTATTCCCCAAAAAAATGATTCAATTAATTCCTGGTACTCATTTCTGTTAGAGGCTGAGTCGACCCCAGGGCCATAGTGCGGCTGGAAGGTTTAGGTCAACTGAAAAAAATCCAATGACCTCATTGGAACTTGAACCCACAATCTTCCAGCTTGCAGCATAGTGCCTCAACCAACTACGCTACCGCGTGCCCCTTTATCTCTGACAGTTGAGGGCAAATTTACTTTTTTTTAAAGAAGTCACAGTTTTAATTATATGCCACCATTTAATGTGGGCTGTGGGATTCAAATCTGATAAAATAAGGGTTAAGCAGTAAGTTTTAATCACACAAGTCTAACATAAATATATCCTTATAAGAGAGATGACGATCAGTATATGCTACTATACCTTTCTATCCTCCCTGAATATCCATCCTGTCTGTGCCCTTGTGAAAGTTATGGACTTCGTAGACATCTGTGCTGCCATGATATCACTGCTCATTAGGATATCCACTTCATCCTCTATTTCTACCTCTGTTTCCTAAAGAACATAAATGTTAAAAATGTTTAATAATGAATTCAGTCATTCTTTACCCCGGCTACTCTACTGAGACCATGCCCTGCAAAAATAACCTCACTGTAATATCACAAATTTTAAACACTGAGAACGTTATTATATGAGGGTAAAAATGGGTGAAGCTGTATGTGACACACAACGTAACACTTGTGCAACCTCTTACGTAACCGCTGATAACCGAAGACCTACGCTGTATCTTATATTGAAGGTTATATGTAAATGAAAGAATAGAGACTGGTCTATCCAAAAATAATATTTATTTTATTCCCAAAATAAAATTGTACATTGTCCAAACAATTACCCAAAACATGTAATAATTTTCCTAATTTTACAGACTTTCAACTGACTGTTATGGCTAAACAATAGGTGGTGGATCAGACATATTGCAAGTTAAATGCAAGCTTCTCAAAAATGCAATCCGTTTTGGTGCATCTCTAGTACCTTTTCAGTATTTCCTGGATTCTGCATTCGGTTTCCGTCTTCTGACTTCTGTCCTGGTTATATCTGTCAGGCGGCCGTGGTAGTAGACAGTCCCCCGTAGGGTTCCATTCCACTCTTTAGAGATCGCATCACATAAGGAACCATTGTAATTACCATGGTAACCATACCTGCCTAGTGAACTGTTTTCACAGAAATACGTGTTCAGTGCTATGTGTTGGAGTTTGAACATGTTTAACCAACCCTTACTTAGGAATTGCAGACTTCACTGTGGGAATGATATATCTGTTGGGCGGCTGTGATAGCAGCCCAGCAGGGTTCCAGCCTGCACTTCTGAGATCATGTCACATCAGGAACCACTGTAATTACCATGGTAACTGTAACTGCTTAGTGAACTGTTGTTGCAGAAAGCATGTTGGGTACTATGCGTTGGAGGTGTACACATTTAGCCATCCGTTACTCAGCAATGGGTGACTTCACTGTGGGAACAATGTTTACGCAGCCATTGGCTGATACATATAGTAATACTTCAATAAAACTTCAATTTTAATGTACAAAATTCATTTATACCAATAAAAATCCCAATTCAATGTTAATCCTGGAAACCAAGTTTCCCCAATCATTTTTATTAGAAAATCTAACAGTTGAAACAGACTACAATTTGTAACAGTGCAAGTTTAACATTTACGTAGTAATAAAAATGGACAAAAACTAAGCACACTCTTTCTTATGATTAGAAGCCAAACCAACTAATTTTGAGTTTTAAGTCTGCAGTGTATTATCTTATTAAACTCTTTCCATGATGCTATTTTTTATACGAGGAACCTGGTTCTGTTAGAGCATTCCCATGCTAATGTACAATTTCTAATGTTAAAAAAATACTTAAAATTAATTATTCAGACATGGCTAGGACACCTCTCATGTATCTCAAACACAAAAACAAATCCAGTCTATAAGGGTCAGTTTTTATGATATACCTTATTCATCAACAAGGAAAGGGTTAATATTTTATGTGTGCCTTGCACTTTAAATATGGAGAACTGATAATTCTTTTACTTGGCCATGTATTTTGCTCACATTTTTCTAATTTTCCACTGCATCATATATCACATACAGCACAGGGTAAGTCTTGCACACTAACATTAACACTTGTAAGTAAGATAACCACTGCAACAATGACATAGATCTACCTTATTTCAGAAGCAACATATGCCAAATATGTGACAAGAGACAGTTACTGAGAAGTTTTGAGAAGTTCCATGATCACGGGCAGATAATTAGTGACACATTACCTCGTATCGTACACGCTGAAAAAGCTCAGCCTTGTTGTCCAGGACTGTTAAGGAAAGATTAGGTTTCCGATCTCCATTGAATAGGAATGAGATATCACCACGCTCCCACCTCATATCATTGAAGTCGACCAGTGTGGTATCAAGGCGAATAGATGATCCACGTTTGTGAATTCTACAAATGTCTGACGGAAGAATCCTTGATACTAGTGGTACTGCAATAGAAGATTAAAATTCTATAATAATTATATGAAGTTAATACTGGTATTTGTACAAGCTTGGGAAGTTACTTTTCACACATCTAGAACTGTTAAAAATACACATTTATCTGGTGCAATTACGTTCATGTTCAAGTACTGGAATATCCACAAAAAAGCTACAACAGATATTCTTCAGTGAATTACAACAACATATTCGTTATTAAAACCATCACAACACAACTATATTAAGGTCAGTGCCAAGTGTGGCTCTGCTACATGTTTCGGCTACTGAAAGCCATCATCAGGCAAATACATGGCCAACATATATATATACCACTGAACTGCAGTACTAGTAAAATTGTATACAATAATATTAATTACATTAAAATACTTGGCATAAAAGTAAAATAAACTAGACTATATAAAATGAAAGTTATAGTATAAAACAAGATTAAAATTCTTCAAGTGATGCTTTACATCACCGAGTCAGTTGTTGGTTTTTGCTATTTTGTTGTGTTCACACGGACAAATTGGAGTATTCTGTATTTTTTTTTGTGTATATATTATACACTGTTTTGGAGACTCGTGATGTAGATGTAGTAATATAATGTTAATTATTTAGTCAGTGCCTCATTTAACAAAGTATTGTCCGTTCTGGAGGGAATGTAAACAATGTCGTTCTTTTATGCTTCCAACGAGTACATAAAGAGGGGAGCAGCTGCTAACAGCAACTCAGGAAAATAAGCTGGAAAGAAGAGGAATAATGGAACTGGAGCTTTTAGTATGTTTACAGTGGAAGTATGTATAAAGTGGAATCTCCATTTAATGTTCACCAGTTTAGGAATTTTCCCTATGTATGGCCATATGTGCAAGGCCTCATGTATGTGGAGTTCTGTAGTGTTTGTCGTAACACCTACTCATAGTTTATGTTGTGCTTGGTTTTATACCCTGTCTTGTGTTGGTTCTGTTTTTCTACTGACTGAGCCCAAGTGACTAGGATTTTTATCTGAGGATGGAGACAGAGTCCAGTCTACAAAATGTTATTTTTAAATAAAAAAAAAGACAAAAAGCCAATAACTATTAATATAGCACTTTCACGAACGTTTAGATCTTATGTAATATTTTGTTTTATGTAAGTGGGATCTGTGTTTGTATGAAACTCATGAATTTTCATGACCCTTAGGGTTTCCTTACAAGCAAATTTTACTCTTGGGTGTGCACATGTGCACACAAGTGTGAGAGAGAGACTGTAGGTGGGGATTTTGATATTCTGATTCTTTTAGAAAGGGTCCATAGGTATCAATTTGCATATAAATTTCACACAATAGCCATTATCTCAAGCATGAGTTCATACAATGAAATAATGCATAGAGAGTAGTAATGCTCACCCCAACTTTGGAAGTCCCATTTGAGTTCCATGTAAAAATCACCCATCTGATTGAGAGCTGATACAAGGTTTGGTCTCCTTTCCTCCATTTGTTCTCTTGCCTGCTGTTTTAGTTTGCGCACAAGTGATGAAACTGTAGATTTAGAAAATACGAAATATTATAAACGTAATATTCCACTGGAGTAGAATATACCATTGTTCAGCTTCTGGTAAAACAACAATCATTAGTCATAAAAGAAATGTATTACATCTATATATTACACAGTATACACTATCAATAACTACACACTAAACTTGTCTTTTTACTTTTAATTTTTAATCTTGAGCTTTACATTTATATTCTGATTTGCATTACTCATATATGTCACTTTAAGGGGCAGCATGTGATACAGTTAGATCTGTGTCATGCATCAGCAATACTGATACTCTCAAATCAATTTTGTTTTGCCTGTTTTCACTTTATCAGGTAGTATGTGATAATTTATGGACAATTCATCTGAGAGCAAAAGCAAAAAGAAATTATATTACGAAAGAAAATCATTACAATTACAGTGGGTGAAAAAACTACAAATTTGCGTAAAGGTCCATTTAAGAGATCAGAGATCTTATCTCTTCCATGTGAGTATATATTTTCATTAACGATCTTCATTGTACATAGCCAAGAACACTTTCAGACTAATTCAGCTGTTGACAGTCTTAACACAAAGAACAACCATCTTCATAACAGACTGTCAACTTCTCGTGTTTTCAGTAGAGTGCATATTATGCCAGCACCAAGATTTTCAACAATCTACCATCTAGTCTCAAAAGTGTTATGAATGAAAAGGCCCAAATGGAGGAGGAGGAGGAGGAGAGGTAGTGAAATACACACCGATTTTGTTCTGTTGATGAATTCGTCATCCAAAAATGACAATCTACTGTGGAAAATGCTGGTGTTGCCGTACATGCATGGATCTATTTGAAGCATCTGAACACCTTATACGAACCCTCTGTTTAACTCATGTTTTTATTTTTTATGTGAAAGCTTCAGCTGTATTAAACATATGTTTCATGTTTTTACGGCATATTCCACATCCTAAAGTCGTTTTTGACTTACTCTGAATGCAATATATGCAAGCATACATGTATGACTATCTTGTATGCGCCAATCCAGAATGTTTACAAAACCAGTAAGTATAAATCCTTCTAAACATAGTGTGACATGTTACGCAACGGAGGACCCCTACCTCCCCAGTGGCACGTGGCGGTAACGTAGCGCTCCCTCCCCCCCTCCGCGGTGACATAAGACGGCGCGAGGTAACAGCGTTGCTAGGCACCACTTCCTACTGTGACGTGGCGGGTGACCCTAGCAACAGTGAACGGAATAAAAGCCGGCTGAGCAGCAAGCGAGAGTCAGTGTGTTATCAACAGTTCTCAAGGTAGCAGCCTGCAAGTGTGCGATAACTAAGAAGTCAGCGAGTGGAAGACTTATTGTGTGCTTTCGAGATTTAGTGAGTGCTGTAGTACAGTTATATTTGGAGTGTGTAATTCAGGGAGATTTGTATAGCTCCCGCGTTATTAGTACGTGAAGACTTTGGTTGTAGGGTTTGAAAGTGTGGAAACCCGCAACTGTGTTATAATTAATTGTAGCCGTTTCTTGTAGATTGTTGAACAAACCAATTAACGATCTCTATGGCGTATTCTGTAACGAAACACGTTACAATATCATTCAAAAAATGCTTACTTGTCTGTCTGTCACCATAACTGATAGCTTCAGCGAGGGGACTCCAACCTGCAAGATTCTTGACTTTGACAGGCGCTCCGTGTGCAAGTAATAAATGGACACATTCTGAAAAAAGTAGCACATTCACTTCCTACATTACATACTGGTATGTGTACAGCGGACTAACAGAGTTGTTTTAAACACAAAGAAATATATTGAGATGTCATATTAGAAATATTATGAGTAATATTATCATCAACTGTTGAGTCAAGTTCCTTCTTCAAAAAAAAAATCAATCCAATGAACAATATAAACAGAATTCTACTAGTCAGGCTTCAAATCCTACAGTTACAGGATACAGCAAATTCCTGCAATATAGAAACCCAAACATAAGAACATGATACCAGGGTAATTCAGTGAAACACAAATGTTGTCTAAAAACTGGTTTACTGAAAAATCACAAAACTTCAACTGTTTTCCCGCATAGTCTCCCTTAACATTTATTCACTTTTACGTCTTATTACTAGGGTTCATATTTTAATGGTAAAGAACTGTTCAGCTTGGTGCCAGAGCAAATCTTTTTTACTTCATCATTATTCACAAGATGCTTTCCATATAACGCTTTTTTGACAAAAAAAAATCACAGTGAGGTAGTGCTTCCCAGCCCACTTCCATAATATTTTCGTTAATTACGTGCTATGAGGACAGGCATTAACCACCAGCAAAACAACTCCTACTTGGAGTACAGGATGCCTGTGGAGTGACAGGGGCTTGATTTTGTTCTTTACGATATCAGAATAACAACTAATGATAGAATTTTGACCCTCCAAATAACTGCAACACCAGGCCCTAACATATCTAAAAAAATCATAAGCATAACCTTACAAACAGTTAGTCTTGTTTTGAATTTCTTTTCTGCCACTGACTGTGGTTGTTTCCATTTCATACTTTCTCTCTCTGACTTAGGATCAAAATGGAGAACCAAGTTTCATCTCAAGCTATAGTATGGGCAAAACAAGCCTCGTTTTCAATTAAATGGCGATTTTTCAGTAACTGGAAAAATTCTGAGTCTGTCAGCCTTATGGTCAGCTGTCAATGCCCTTGGTACCACCTGTACACATCTTTATTTTTTTTTTTAATTCAGCTCATTTTGAGTGACTCAACATACTGACCAGACACTTGCCAAAAACATCTCTACAGTTTGCCTCAAATTTGCCCAGTGATTTCCTCAAATCATTTGCTCAGTACGATCTTGGAGCTGGTGAGTGGAGACTTTAACTGGTATGCCTGAACACCGTTCATCACTGACATTGCTACAAACATCTTTAACCCTTGGATCCAGTTCTACATGCTTCTGCAATTTATGCAGCCACTACTATACTGATCCACCACAAGACTGTAGTCATGTGAGGTGGGCACAGGGGGATGGGAGTGTCTGCAGGCACCTATCTTTCAGGAAACTTCAATACTCCTCCCCCTTCTCCCAGATTGTTCCAAAGTACATAGGTTATAACATGTATAAAACCATGGCTGCAGGGCCAGAAGACGGTTCAGACACAGCCTTAGTTGAGCGTGGACAGCCAGGGTGGCCGTGTGTTGAAGTAGATGTGAAACAGTGGAACTGCAGTAAATGACAAGTTAGTTCTGTGCAAGATGGAAGACGTGGATAGTGCAGCAGCATACAGAGAAAAAGCAATTGACAAGAAAGAAGACACGTCAAGATCAAAAGTGATGAATCCATTGGCGAGGCCATAACTGTCTCAAACGAAACTGAATGTTACAATACATTTACAAGTGAAACACCTTCAGAAGTAAAAGATCTAATTACAAATCTTCTAATGAAGCCATCATCATTAAAACTAATGCTGTGTGTGAATCACTAACAAACAATTGATACAGGGACAGGCAGGTTGCAGACTGCATGATTAACAATGTTGCTAACTTTTACCACAGAATTACATCCACCTCTAAGAGATCCTCAGGGAAAAAATAATTTCAGGTTAACCTTGAACCATCTTTGTATCCAGCATTTATGATAGATTAGGCAATTATCTGTATCATCAACATATCAAATCATGTGATAAGAAGTTAATCTTTCTTCTTACAAAATCTGTATGCAATAAGAAGTATGCATAAATGATACACAAATTAATAGCTTTATACTTGTAAACAGTCCCTACTCTCTGTCAATGGTGGCTGGCCAATATCAAAGTGTATTTGTTTCAAGAAAAACACACAATTCTGCCTCCCTAATTGTTTATACAAAATATGACTGCAAACTACCGAAAGCACTCAAACTCACTCACACCACAACATTTTCTTTGCTGCATCCTGTGGTGTGAAATCTTGACTACACCGACTATTTGTCCCATTTTCTAAATTGGGACAATTACCTCAAGTGATGAACTCTGAAGCGGATCTCAGACTGTCAACATCTTTCCAGCAACATGAAGCTAGCTCATTATGATGACTGGATCATTTCAAACCAGTATCCAAGTTGCTTTGGATATTAACAGAACTGGGATCCTTGCTCACTTAATCTCAACTCACATGACTATGTTCTGTAAGGACATGTGAAAAATCAGAGCTATGCAAAGAACTCCTCACCATGGATGAACCAAAAAAATGCTACGATTGAGTCAGTAAACAGGTCACAAATGGATATACAATGTAGAACATGTGATATTCAAACGTGGAAATAACATACTCATATCTTCCACCAACACTGATACACTTGTCCCATCGCTTTCCCAGTGCATCAAAACCCGCAGCATTGAGATCTTTTGACTGCTGCCTCAGTCACTTCCACACCTGGTCAAGCATCATTTGCGATTTTCAAACATACTTCAGAGAACTTCTTGACACAGATGTGAACCGCTTTGCATGACAAACAACTCCCACCATAAACATGGAACATTCCTGTATGAATATCCTTTGCACTGAGTCCTTTTGCCCACAAAAAACACACAACAGAATGCTGCTCTCCAGTAGGACACACCTCAAGCATGATTGCCATTTTGACTACTGAAATCAACCTCTGAACATGCGCAGGTGCATCTCTACCTAGACTGAAATGACGCTAGACTAAGCTGCTACCAACTGATATTAATAAAAACCTTCTTATGTCCATTACAGGTGTTTTACTTCAATTTGTGACCTATTTACTGACTCTCCTTCATATCATTGATGCTATGAGAACATAACTGTCAAAATGTAGTAAGTGGCTGTACAAAATTTCATAGTGGTGACTGCACAACAGGAAGGTGAAAACACTGAAAATGTGTTCACATAGAAAAAATACCTGACTTTGGATAGTATTTAACATACTTTTCAATAAAAATACCTTTCTTTGGAAACAATCAGCATTTTAAAATTTGAGTGTCTTCTGAAAAATAATGTACAATGTCAGTAAGAACTGCACAAAAATTACTACTGATTCAAATAATGAAAAATTACCTTTCCTGCCCAGCATAACTGCCAAATGTAATGCTGTGTTACCTGAAAAGAAATATGAAAAACAGTCAACACATAAGATAATGCATGCATTTATGGTATGCATGTAAACTTTAACAAATTCGCCCTGACCATTCTAACGCTCTTCTCTGCAGATACAGAGAACCAACATGTTACAAGACAAGCCATTTCCTTTTCTGTTCCTTCTCAATGTCCTTACCATATGGAGTTTAGTAAATTTCATGCAACAAAATGTTGCAAATTAGCAGCTTAACATTTTTGTGTACAAACCAAGTTGGATGCAAGAAAATGCACATGAAGTCTACTGATATACATGACGATATATACAAAATGTTCATTTAGTAAGTATCCCCAAATGCACATGCAACCATATGCACAGAACCTCCCTAATGTTTTCATGACTTGCCTGGCCTTCATCATTCAGTTGTCTTTAACACTAATGGCACCAACATGACTGCACTGCTTGCAACATGCACCAAAGAAAAGCAGTGAGCAGTGATTCAACTTTCATGGGCTGAAGTTCTAAGAATGCGATAATGTACTGAAGATTATCAGCACAATATAGTGACAGTATTCTGCTGCGGTGACGCATGTACAAATGGACAGACACGTTCAAAAATAGCAGAATAAGTGTCACTGATGAACAGTCAGTATGCACATCAACTGCTAAAGGGGACAGTGAACAAGTCCACAAACAAATCCTTGATAACATTGTGCCCATCAATAATACGGCAAACAAATGCAGATTAATCATGGTTCTGCCTTAATCATCCACCACAGGCTTCAGTTCCATTAGGTTTGTGAGGCTGATTCCAAAACAAATCGCAGAACAGAGGCATAATCAATTTAAGATCTCTGACTCTGAACTGGTATCTTAAGGCAACTGAATAAGTACATAAATACACCATATATGAGTAAATACGACTGTCCAAAAAGTATCCGACCTTGGGCCAGGAAAACAAAGTTCTGTATCTGGGTACTTACAATACCTAATCCCCTTCAAAGTAGGGCCCTTGTGACTCCACACACTTAGCCCAGTGGTCCTTCCATCGTTAGAAGCAATTCTGGAAGGCTTCTTCTGGAATGGCGTGCAGCTGCGTCGTCATGTTCTGTATGATGTCCTCGTGGCTGTCAAAACAGGAGCCTTTTAGCAGTGTCTTCTATCTCAGGAATAGCCAGAAATCACATGGAGCCATGCCAGGAAAGTAGGGAGCCTGGCGAACCTGCGGAATGCCGTGCTTGGCCAGGAAACCCTGGATCAGGTGTGATGAATGAGCTGGGGCATTGTCATGATGCAGCTGCCAGTTGCGTGCATCCCACAGCTCCAGTCTCTTGCGCCGAACTGCATCACAAAGATGGCGGAGGACTTCTTCGTAGTACTCCTTATTGATAGTTTGGCCTAGTGGTGCATACTCATGATGCACAACACCACGGTAATAAAAAAAAACAGTATCACCTTCATATTGCTCTGAACCTGTCATACTTTTTGGGGGCCTCAGGGATACTGGATGCTTCCATTGTGACACCTGAACCTTGGTTTCCAGATCATATCTATACACCCACAACTCATCACCAGTGATCAGTCTTCAGGAACTCAGGATCCCTGCTGGCGCACTCCAGCATGTCCTGCGCGACCTCAAGACAGAGTTGTTGCTGCTCCGGCAAAAGCAGCGTGAACACAAATTTTGCTGCCACCCTTCGCATGCCCAAAACCTCAGTTAAAATTGTGTTTGCAGAACCTCTGCTGATCCCAACCTCATCAGCAACTTCCTGGATGGTCAAACGAAGATCCTCCATGATCAGTGTCCATACTTTTTCAATGACATCAGCATTTCAGCTTGTTGACGGTCTCCCGGAACGCTGGTCAGTGTCCACCAACATACAGCCATCTTTAAATCAGTTGAACCACTCTTTAATTTGAGTGACCCCCATTGCATCATCGCCAAAAGCCTGCTGAATTTTTCAGATTGTTTCCGCATGGGTATCCCCACGTTTCTGACAAAACTTGATGCAGTATCACTGTGCCAAGCATTCTGTCATCTTGAGTGAAACGAGAACACAACGAACACATGTTACACCACTTTGCTATCTGGCAGCCACAGATGCATCCGGAGGTGTTGCAAGTCAGCAAAAAAATCACGCATGCACATGAAAGTCGCTTCTACCATTATGCTCAGTTTCCCCACCCTTTGGTCATTACTTACAGCGGCAAAAAATAAAGTCAGATACTTTTTGGACAGCGGTGTATAACTAAATATCCCCTCCAAACGCCAACATTTGAAGGATGGAGAACAGGGCAATGGTCCACCTACACCAAGGTGTGAGGCATCATGTGGAGGGCTGCATGGCACTGGGATGGAAATTAACCAGTGTCATTAACAATTCCCTCAGGGCACCTGGTCACAGCCCACAGTATTTATGCATTCCAGCCATACGGAGTGCTGGTGGTCGTGACTTTCTTGATCCGTTTTACTCATGGGACTGTATATGGCTAGCAGGGAAAAATAGCCTTAAAGACTCTAAAAGAAAGGGGGACTCCCTTACAGGGAAATCAACACAAGAAATTCTACAGCATGGGGCTGGATGCTCTGGTATACCATCTAGGGGCACTGGCACAACCAATGAACACTTTTTCAGCCAAAGGCAGGGATGTACCAGTACAGGCATACCTGCCTGCAGCAACATCAAAGACCTCTCTCTCAGGAGCCTGCAGTTCTAGCACACCTGCAGAAGGAAAAGGTCTGAGACACTCAGCCTCATGAGTAGGCAGGCTCTATCTAACAAAGACAAAATTGTCAGGATGTGCTAGGTGGAAGCTGAAAAAAGGGTAAGCCAAGCAGGAACTAGTGACACCCAACAACCAGTCAATGTGGCCAAGGCCTGAGGGTAGTAGCCCTACAGAAAGGGTTAGACCTCCAAAAAGGCCCAGGGATTCTAGGAGACAAGGGGTATAAAAAGAGGCTCTGAACAACTTCAAGGAAAACTATCCTGAAGATAAGCTGACATGCTAAACAAGATCATATCCTCAAAGAACTGGGAAGGTTGTTTGGTGGGACTCCAAAAGAAGAGCTGCCATACATAAGGTCCTTCAGGCTGGAGGAAGACATACTCATGTATGTGTGTGCTGACCAACAATCTGGCTGATGACTCATCAGGGCCACTGACAATCACGGGTTGGGATCAGGAGCTAGGCTGAAGACTACAGATGCCAGGAACATCCCCATGCCTGTCAAGGTAGCTCTCAGAAAGAAGGACAAGATTGACAAGGGTTCTGATGAGCTACTGAAAAGGACCTCAAGCCAGGGCTTCATACTGAGCACTGGAGGGTACCAAATATGCTGCCTGAGCTGAAAGGCCAAAGGTTTATCCTTCTTTTAGACCAGGATTCCTATAAAGTCATCAAACAAACCAGATATAAGATTTTCATGGGACTCACTCAGGGGACTATTATGATCCTGATGCAAAGACCAAGCATGAAGAAAAGGCTGCAATGAGGCCAGCATCCCTAGGATCTGTCGTTGACAAGGGATGGATTACTACATCCACCCCACCCCCCTCCGAGGCTAAGATCACTGAATGAAGGAGGGCAATAGGGATGGTGGAGGGCATGCCTCCAACTGTGAAACCTGCTCCAATGGACCTGGGGGCCCCTTTGGAGGGAACTCAGTCTGCTGAGAGAGTAGAAGAAAAATGAAACTAACATGATGGAATTCATTCACATTAACTTACACCGCAGCAAAGCAGCTATGGCAGTCCTATGCCAGCAGCTTGGTGTAGGAATGACAAATGGGAATGGTTGATGTGCCACTTATTCAGGAACCTTGCATATATATATATGTATGTGAGCCAAATTAGAGGTTTAACTAGCTCAGAGGGAATAATTTGTTTCCATCGCATCCAAGGTTAATGCAAGGTCCTGTGTTCACGTCACGAAATGTATTAATGCCCTACTATTGCTGGTGCTCTGTTCTATGGACACAACAAGGGTGAGGACGACATACATACATGGAGGAAGTTATGAGGAACTCATCATCACCTCAGCATACCTTCTGTATGATTCATATGAACCACCAAGAGGCAAGGAACTGTGGGACGTCATCTACTACTGCTGCAGCAGGAAAAGCAACACGTCCTTGGATGCCATGCACACCACATATTATGGGGGAGCACTGGTACCAATCCCAGAGGAGAAAGATTCATGGAGTATCTGCTGAGTCCAACCCTGAATATTCTTAATCACGGTAACATGCCTACCTTTGTGTTTGGTGGCATGGAGCATAGCGGGAGAATCACTGTGAGTTGATGGGATGTTTCTGCAGGGGCAGGAAGGAAGAAGCAAATATGAAGAGAGCATATCTTAGAAGGCAGGTGTGTATAGACAGGGACTGTGGATAGGTTGGGGATTGTCTGTGGGGATGGAGGAGGAAAGCAACCAGTATGCAGAAGTATCAGCCATTCCTCCATCTGGCACACATGGCTGTGGCAGGAAACTCAATCAACCAGGGGCACCAGACATACTCTGAGGACACCACAGCATTCGCCACAATACATCAACAGAGTTGTGCTTCAATTAAGTGGGAAAAAAGTTTATAAATTAGCTCTGTAAATAATATCAAACTCTCAACATGGAGCATAAAAAGTGAGTAAACGAGCCTCATAATAACAATAACAACAATCAAACCTTATCACAAATGTATTTTATGTAACACGTCTACTGAGTCTAATTAACACCTGATTACTAATTTATTTTCACACTGCATGTCCCATAGTAGGTCATCAGCTGGAACATACAAATCCCCCCTCACAAAGCCCAGCAATACTTAATTCAAGTCATGAGAATTTTAACACAATCTAGGAGTCTCAGTTAATGAGTTATTTATGAATGGCTATTATAATACATTATGAAAGCAAAACATATATGATCTGACTGCCTGAATAACCTGACATATGCAAATTAGCTTTCTTAATGTGAGCTCATCAAAGAGAGCAGAAATGGGTCAGATTTGCCATAGCATTATACTAAACTTAATACCAATTACTTTGAAACAGCCCCAAATTGACACATCAGCTGCCAGTCTATGCTGATGATGTTAATCTACTGTGTGATAATATAAATACCATAAAGAAAAACACAGGATCCTTAATTGATGCTAGTAAAGAGGTTGGTCTATAAGTAAACACAGAGAAAACTATGTACATGTTGCTGCCTCACCAACAGAATGCAGTGCATCATGATACAAAGACAGCTAGATCCCTTCAAAATGTGGCACAGTTCAAATATATGGGAACAACAGTAACAAATCAAAATTTGATTCTGGAAAGTATTAAGAAGACACTGAATTCAAGTAATGCTTGCTACTATTCAGTCCATAACCTTGTGTCTTCTCATCCACTGTTTAAAAACATAAAAATTTGAATACACACAACTATAATTTTGCCTGTGGTTCTGTATGGGTGTGACACTTGGTCTCTGATATTAAGGGAGGAAAATAAACTGGAAACGTTAGATAAAAGGCTGCAGAGGAGAATATTTGGACCAGAGAGGGATGAAGTGGCACGAGGTTGGAGTAAACTGAATAATAAGGAGCTTCATAACTTGTATTCATCACCTAATATAATTAGAATGATCAAGACATGGAAGATAAGGTAGTTAGGGCATGTAGCACGCAATGTGGAAGAGAGGCATTCATACAAGGTTTTTGTAAGAAAGCCAAAATGAAAGATACCACTAGGATGACTTAGATATGGGTGGGACAATAATATTAAAACGGATCTTAGAGGATGGGAGGTATGGACTGATCCAACTCGGGGTAGGGATCAGTGAGGGACTCTTGTGAACATGGTAATGAACCACTCGGTTCCATAAAATGTTAGGAAATTCTTTAGAAGCTGTACAACTGGAGGCTCCTCAAGAAGAGCTCAGCACCATGAAGTTAGTTTATAGTAACACAGGTGAACAACATACCCAAAGCTAAATTATACTGACAACTATTAACAGAAACACCATAACACGATCATACCATGTTTATCTTTCTTTGAAACGTCATTTAATCGCAGTAAGCTTGAAAGTCTTCGCACATCACCACTGAAAACACATTCATGTAGTGGACAACATTCACCATCTTCCGCCATCTTTTCATGTTTAATACGTTAGTCAAATTCAACATTCAGTGATTTAGTGTTTGGCAAAGGAATATACAATTGATTAAATTCATAGACTACATATTCTTACACTAATATCAACAATATCTGAATGGTTCATTTAATAATTAGTTATCAGTGTCACATGATAATTAAATAACTTACATTATTAGCATATCTGTGTTCATTGAAAGTGGATCTATACGCATAATCACGTCAACCATATCATTTACAAGTCACCCACCAGAGTGCACAATCAGCATTAAACTGCATCTCTTAAATTTCGTACACTACACTAGACTACACTTTATAGTCTCAAAAGACGGTGGTGGAGGGGAGTAAAGTACAATTGAAAAGGCAGGACAGCAGTAGTTTCTGGTGGCTCAAACATCGGCAACTTAAAAGCTCCTGTTATACAACTATTACCTGAATGAACAGGATTGTTTAACCAAGGTGGGAGCTAGGAATTTGCCCCAAATTGAGACATTCCACTAGGAAAAACAAAAGCATGTACCCGTAAGTATGGAGGCCTGAATTTTAAATTGAATTGAATTGAATTGAATTTATTTACATTCTATAAATCCTAAGTAGGTTAGTACCTTTGGATACAGAACAAGTCAAAAGGTTACATACATAAGTACATGCAATTTTAGGCAATACATTCCGTCCAAATTTCTCACACGGTTAACCAAACGGCCTCGAGCGATAACAGAGACCGTGGTGTCTAACGAGCAATACGATTTCAAAAAACAAATATCAAGCCTGCAGTCAGTCGCAATCGGTCGCAATTCTTCCAGATGACACGAGCAGACCTAAGAGCAAAGGTTACGCCACTTTCATAGGCTGTTGGACAGTCATGGTAGTGAAGAAACTGATGAAGATCTCTGACTGCAGCCAGCCTGATAGGAATAAGAATATCAAATGAAATCAGGGAAACAGAAGGAGTCGAAAGGTTACTGCTGGGTAAACCGACATCCCATTTCAGGGGGATTGTCCCGCTTTTTATGAAGGTGTCCCGTTGTCCCAACAAGGATAAGACGGGACGCCAAATAGTCTCGTTTTCAATAGTGCTGTTTTGTTTAAAACTGATACAGATATTTCGTTATGGCATTCAAACAAATGCTTGAGCTTAGATGCTTAGAATAAAAATTACCTTCTTATTTTAATACATCTTTGCGTGTATTTCTGTAGGCTTTATTTTTATTTGTGAAATAAATCTGAGCAATAACAGAGCGACAACAGGGGGAAACAATCTATGCCTAAACGAATGACAATGATTCTCAATGAACTCAAGGTTTGCAAAAATCCTTCAGCTACTTTATCCAAAGTAAAAGATAGTATTCTACAAATAAACATAGGAAAAAAATAAATAGCTTCCAGGAAATGTGGGGAAATGCAGTATATAACAGAATTAGTAGTAGTCGGAAACAGTTAAAAGCCGGTGCTACAAGTGTCGGACATCACTCTGCACACTAGTGGGAAAGTTTTCGCATCGGGTCACGTTTTCATCACGCTGAATAATCCTACAGCATGAGCATGGTGAACAGTTGTCTCCAAACTTATATAGTTCCACGCTGCTATCAACTGGTTGGGTGTGCATACGCACCGTCCTCAGTTCTTGTCGAATATCCAATTAATCACTAAATACACTGCATTCAATCAATGAGGAAACTTCGCAACACCGCTGACCGGGCCCAACATACTCGCAGATTGCTGCTATAACTTCTGATAGCATAATGAGTCATTAGCGCTGATAAACGCGTACCTTCCGGTGGCGTGATCTTGTCACCGCAGTTAAGCTGCGTTAACAGTCAGTCTGTATTAGAGATTTCGATAGGCGGTCGACATTTATACTGAAATTAAGTTCGCTATTGAACAGCGTGTTTATTATCGAAACCTTTGCAAGGAAAAAAGCTCACAGAAAATGTATCCGTAAGTTTCGTCGTAAATATCCTGATTCGTCAGATCCCACAAAGTCGCGTGTATTTAAGCTTGTCAAAAAGTGGCAGACCACAAGTTCAGTGTGCGACATAAAGATGCTGACTGAAGAAAAAGTTCGGGATATTGAGGCACGACTACAGATCGATCCTCGAAAAATCGTTAAGACTCTTAGCACAGGAAACCGGTGTTTCGCTATGATCTGCTTTCACAACCACAAAATTAATCAAATTTCGCCCGTATAAAATGACAGCTGTGCACGACCCGAAGGAACCAGATTATGTAGCAACTGGCTACCGCAAAATGTGCAGGATGGAATCGTGGATAAACAGCTTTTGTTCATGACTGATGAAGCGTGGTTTCACGTTAGTAGTCATGTCAGTGCACAAAATGTAAGAATATGGAGCGATGAAAATCCTCATGCTATGCAGCACATGTGGTGTGTTGTAAGTCCGCGGCGAATCATTGGTCCCCTATTTTTCCACGAAACCGTGAACTCAAACCGCTATGTTAATGATATACCTAATCCATTCTTCAATCAACTGACTGCTGAAGAAAGACAATATGAGTATTTTCAGCAAGACAACACTACAGCACATACGGCTAATGGATCCATGGTCGCAATATGGGAAGTGTTTAAAGGCAGAATAATCGGCAGGGAACTGTGGCCTCCCAAGATCCGCAGATCTCAGTTTTTGCAAATTTTATCTTTGGGGCAACCTAAAGGGAAAAGTCTACCAGAATAATCCTTGCTCCACTGAAGCTCTGCAGAATGAAATAACACGAGTATTTGGTTGAATTACCGTGGACCAACTTCGGAGAGTGTCGCATAATTTATTTATGCGATGCGAGGCATGTTTGCAAGCAGAAGGGGGTCACTTTCAGCACCTGTTATAAAGTAAGGTTAGTTTGTGTTATCTTTTTACAGTATTCTTATATGTGTGTGTGTATGTACAGAAACTGATGCGAGGGAATAGTCGCGGAAGAAACATCCCACCCAGACTACGCTAGCGAGAGCGCGCACGTTTATCAGCGCTAATGACTCGTTCCGCTATCGGCAGTTACAGCAGCAATCTGTGAGGAATGCTGGGCCCATTCAGCGGTGTTGGGAAGCTCTCCTTGATTGAACGCCCTGTATTATGGGTATTACCTCAACGTGTGAGGCTCACGTATTGGTAATACTGATGATAAAGTGTCTTTTAAGTGTGCAGCTGAAATGGCATGATATACATACCAAGTTTCATGATGAATTGGTTGAGGTATTCGAGTAATATTAAGTGTATTACCTCAACAATTTGAGCAGGTATAGTGTTGGTATTACTGATCGAAGGGTATATGAAGTACGCAATTGAAATGGTTTCATGTGACATTATATATACCCTAAGCTTCATTTAGAGGCTGTTAAGCACTATTAAGGTTTTGCCACTCAAAACTGGAAGCTGTAATTTTGGTATTATTGATGAGATGGGTGTAGGTGTAGGTATACATGCCAAGCTTCATAAAAATTGGTTCAACCATTCAAAAGTTAATATGGAGGGAGGGTCATACAGAAGACGTGATAAGCCTATTTTTATTTTTTCAACATAAGCAGGCTAAAAAGGGTCTAATACATATGTATACCACTCCCTCTCCAAGTGCCATAATGATTCAAGAGGTGTACAAAACTTTCAAGCTACACTTCTACCATATCTAAAGACTGTACAATGTGTGCATCAAAGTGAACAGTTTCTGCTGTCTACTAGACAAAAGGCTAACTTGGTTGCACAGTTGGCCTGTACATAACTGGGAATATTCCAGTGTCTCAGTGGTAACTGAATAATTGTCATTCATTCTGAAATCAGTTCCAGTGAGCTGACCCACCTCATAAATACTGGTACATTTCTAATAGCAATTAAGAACTATGGCTCTTAACAGTAAGAGCGGTTATATTGATCCTGTCTATTGAGCATTTGAGAAAGTAGTGCTCATTCAAGTAGGCTGCTTCATGTTTAATATCACCCCCCCCCCCCACCTTTAATAAAATGGTGCCCTATGCCTAATTTTCCTAATTCTTGGCCAAACTACAAGAAAGCTAAAGTGTCATGTAATATTCCATTTTCAGATAAATCAACATGGTCAAGATGCAAACATGATTTAGATACATCTACCATAACATACCAAAATGACTGAAATATACTTCCAGAATTTTTTCAGGTCATATAATTTTCTTACTTAAATCTTTCAATCTTAGAGGTATATTAATATCCTAGTTTAGAAAATTGTGAAATTAAAGTCTTGATAATATAGTGAATTTAATTTATTAAATTTTTCTAATACAGCAATAAGGATAACAAAATTTATTTTGACTTTTCTAGTATATGCCATTTTGATCTAACAGTTCATAAAGACTCAAAACTCTCATAAGTTTGTATCTTTTTATACAGTAGCTCAGTGACAACTTGGAAAGTGGTGTGCAAGAACTTATCTTGAGATTCATATATAGAACATAAACAATATTAGCTTCAGAAAGTTACACAAAATCAAGAAATGTTACCATGTTTATACTATGCATGTGCAAGAATGATTTTAGTTTGAGGCAAGAATTTGGTAACCCCTCAAGAATCTACATGAGAATGAAAAAATTCCCCCAAAGACCAATGGCTTCCCTGTAATAATTTATAGCATTAGCCACTTTTTCACTTTAGTACCATATTTATCCAAATGGAAGATGTTTCCAATGTAAGATGACCCAACATGTGCACAGAAAACAATTAATTTTATTAATTTCATACTAATTACTACAGACATGTGAAAGAAAATAAATATTAAAGACACATGCATATACATGAAGTCTACCGAGTTTCCTTCTTGAAGTCACTAGCCTTTACTCTACTTCACCAGTCTTGCTCTGTTTACCATTCCTATCACGTCTCAGTTTCAGTGTCTTCACAATTAGCATTTTCTGTTTCACATTCATACGTTCACTGCCAACATCCCAATTTCATTCTCACTCTCCATTCCACCACTTACATGGCAGATCTGACTATCCCTACTAGACTGATCGATTTCAATGGTCTTGATCCAGTGGCACAGCAGTTCCACACTGGAAGTCATTATTTTCTTGCATGGCATCAGAACATGGTCTCCCGCCAAGACCCATTCAGAATACAACTGTTTCAACTGATCCTTAAAAGTTTATTCACTATACCATGTATTTAAGATGTCATTCCTCCAGCTATGACAAGGTCAGCATTTATTGCATAATTCAGAAATCCAGTGCTAAATGATCTTTAAATGCACCCATCACAAACAGCCCTTGTAATCTCAAAAATACTCTCCATCTGCTGCAGACATGCCCATCAGTTCACTGTCAGTCTGATACCTGATTATTAGTCCCATAGGCAGCAAGCCTCGGGCAGTTTTCAATTCAGTATCACATGTGGTAGTAGTTACATGCTGTCTCCCAACTCTCCCAACTCTGTCAACATTACAATCACATCTTTTACAGCCTGGTAGCGAAGGTCTTAACTGTAAAGTAAACCTGTTCCTCCACGTTATTCCCACACACCATCCTCAGCTCACCTAAAAATTTCAGCCTTTCAGTAAGTACTGATGTGACAAGGGACTGACATTCCACTGTGTCCTTGAGTCCCTGCAAGTGAGAACTTTTGGGTACAAGTGACAAATTTTCCACCTTTGGATGTTTACCTTAAGAAACACTACTTTCTAGCCGCTTCATAGATTTTTTTCTGCATATTTAATCACTACAGCCTCAAAGAATGATTCACAACTGTAATGCCCTACATCTTTCAACACATTCCCTTTCACACCAGTTCTGTTAGCACAGAATCTTTAACATGAGTGGGTAAATTACATTTTTATTTCATAATTCTGATGGTACTTCAGACAGCATCCTGGAAGCTTCTGATTTTAAAACATACATACCTACCACTCTCTCTCTCTCTCTCTGCCCCCCCCCCCCGACTCAGATAGCATGCCAATGCAAACCGTGAACATACTAAAAGCTTAAACAGATTAAAAGCATCTAATGTATAGACAAAATCAGACAGTCACTGGCTTCCACTGCAAGAGCCTGGGTTTGATCCCAGGTCAGGTCATTTGGGATTTGTGGTGGGAAAAGTGGGTCAGGGCAGATTTTCTTCAAATACTTCTGTTTCTGCTACAAATTCTTATTCCACAACTGCTTCATATTCATTAATCGTCCTATCATAAATGCTATATACTGTCAATACTGACAAAATTGTCAAATAACAGAATTGGGGAAGAGAGAGAGAGAGAGAGAGACTCTGAAATGTAAAGTAAAAGCAGTTACCAGAAAAGTCTCAAAATTTAAAAATGTATAAGTAACATATGAATCAAAATTAAGAATTCTGTTCTCTTGATTCAATCTTGAAAAATTGGGCCTCGAATATGCTTTATTTATGTGCTCCAGGTAAGTTTCTTTAAATTCTGGTCAAATGAATAAGGTATTTTTTTCAATCTGTTTAAATGCCTGCACATTATATCAATTTTCAATATTTTTCATTTCTTATATACATGTATTCAAATTACAGTTGAAACAATTACTTCAAGTCTTTGAGATTCCAAAAAAAAAAAAAGTCAACAATAACAAAATGCAATTTTGTCAAGGAGTGACACAGCACTAACACTCTTTTCATTACAATCCCATGCATCATTAGTGCTGCTCAGTGCATACAGTGCAAAGTCACTCTTCAACTACATTACTGTGGGTAACATATTTTAACAATGGAACCAACAAAATTAATAATTACTTTTCTCTTCAAATACAAGTAAAGCAAAGCTATCCCTGTATCAGGCCATGAAGGCCCATAGGGTTTTGAGACGTTGAGGGTCCCACACTATCTAAACAATTGACTCATAGATGGCGGTAAGTTTGCCAGCCTTACGTGCCTGCCACTCTTTACTCCCCGGAAAAATTATTTACTTAATTCCTGGTACTCATTTCTGTTAGAGGCTGAGTAAACCCCAGGGCCTAGTGTGGCTGGAAGGATTACGTCAACTGAAAAAATTCAATGACCTCATCAGAACTTGAACCCACGACCTTCCGGCTTGCAGCATAGCCCCTCAACCAACTACCCTACCGAATTAAAAAAAAAAAATGTAACTAAACTGGGTTTTGTAGAAGGATGCTCTGTGCGCTGCAAATTTTCAAATATAACATTAAAATAACAATTTTTTTACAAGATTTCATTTGCACTGGGTTTACAGTTGTACTCACTGTTCCTCTCTCCTATTTTAACATTAACAGTAGTTAACAACTCAGTCTCCTCCATAAACACAAAAGTAAGAAACTATACTGAGCATGTGACCAAGTTCCAAAGAATACTGTGAGATAAATTTAACACAGTCCAGCTGAATCAAAAAGAAAATTGTTAGGGAGAGACCTGCTGGAACACATTCTTGCAACATGAATGTGCTAATACAAATTTATTCAGCTACCAAAAATTTCAACAATGGTATGGTTCCCATTACCAGGATAAATTAAGAATTATATCACATGTTTTGTTGTATTTTCTATGTATAACTAGGTTTACAAAACACAGGTTCACATTATACATACTTTCAGAATGCACCATGTTATAGGGGGATTGTTGCGTGTATATACTCAATTTACATGTAGACTTTTAGAAGGACAAAATAAGGTTCTAATGCCAAATTGAATATTCTATGTGCACATATATATATAAAGATGCCAACTTCTGGAAACATTCAATAACCACAGAATGGAACACACATCAGAATTTTGTAAAGCACAGAAATTAAAGATTTCAAGCTTTCATGAAGCTAACATAAAGGTAAAGCTGTCCCAGTGCTTAATTATTTAAGCACTATTCCATGAAGACATGGGGGGGGGGGTGTACAGTTTCACCTTTCTTGACGTTGGCACTAGATGGAGGTAAGTGGTTAGCTTCACACCCCAGTTTCTTAAACCGGGGAAATTGGCCCCAGTACCCATTGGATAGGAGGCTGAGTGGCCCCCGAGCCTGTTTGGTTGCTGTGGAGAAGAGAAAATCTTGCACTGCTGATCACTGAATCCAGGCCATCCAACTTGTAGCCCGCTGCTACACCGAGTTATCCCAACTCCCTTATGAAGCTAAGTTAACAAAATCATCTCAGGCCATCAGTCATGTCAGTTGGTTAAAAAGAAATACAGTTCACATACCTATGAAAAAAAGACATCCATATACTCAGACCTATAGAGACAAACTAGGCCTAAAAGTCACAGGGATATACTGCATCCCATACAAGTGTGACAAGGTGCATGTTAAGCAGACAGGTATAACTGAGACTAGGTGTAAGGAACATGAGGCACATAACCCTGGTAAAGCCACACATCTGAAACAAAACACACCATCAACTTCAGCAATTCTGCCATTCTGGATAAAGTACCAGGTTAAAACGACCTCTTAATTTAAACAGGCTATTGAGCTGAGGCTCTACCCCAGAAACTTCAACAGGGACGAGGGTTTCAATCTCTATTGGTTCTGGTATCTGGTGACTAATATGAGAAGTATTGAGGCAAACCAATCCAGAAGCAAGACAAGCACACTTATGACTCCACCCACTGGATCCAACCCAGTTTTGCATGAGTCACAGGTTGATAAATAGATGGGACAGTTTGGATCTTATTTCACATCAGACCCTGCCAATGGACACAGAAATGGTCCCTGAAATGTTGGTAATTTTTATCCAAGTGACCTGGCTGATAGCCCAAGCGTTTATTTACAGAAAACAAACTACAGTAAATAGTGTAGTCATATTATACTTGAGCAGTTATAAGACAGGATTTTTAAATTAAGTATCCTTAAAAATGTACGCTTCATTTACATAATTATTTTCCATCCTCCTGCAGCTGCACTGTACTACTCATGACCTTCCTAATCACAATTTACTACACAAAATTTGAACTAACACCAACTTGTTTATGCATAGATTATTCAAATAGTACCACACCTGTGTAAAAAACCACTGGCAGTATCTAAAATAATGTCCTTTAAGCAAACAAAATGAAATTCAGTAACTTGAATACCATAGTTCTGTGGAACTGTTATCAGCTGAAAGAAAATATCTGTAAGTACCATCATGTTAATAAACATAAAATATATGTTTTGTGTGGTATTCTAATGTTTTATTTCCTTTATTTACGGAATTTAAATGAGTTAAATAGTTGCATTATTCCTGCTCGTCTCTATCTCAGCCCAGTCATTAGAGCAGTTCATGCTACTGGAAACTTACCTTAAATACCATCTTTCATGTTTAGTGCTTGTTAATTAAAACTGTACTTCAGAGAAAATAAGACAAAACTGACATGAAAACTAAATTAATAATTTGATAATTAGGGTCTACCTTTTTCAAATTAATGTTGCATAAAAAACTATTTACATCTTAACTGATATCAATATACAACCATCTTTCTTAATTCATAACAGGCACATATCCAATGTAATCATCTTTCAGATGGAACTGAAAAATGGTTTTAATTTATCTGGAAACACAAAACTGAAGAAATCTGAAATATTTTCAATTTTTTAATACAAATTCAGCAACATTACTGTCATATTGAAACAAGATATAATGAAGAGTACTGTCTTTTGGAATGTAACACTGTGTGGTATGTTGAAAGTAAACTGATGTTTTGGAGGAACATATCGGCTCTGCTTGCCACCTGCTTTCACGCTGGTTTCTTGCTCAGCTTATTTTTTGACCATGAAGATGGAGGTGATATATTCCTCCAAAATGTCGGTTAACTTTCAGTGGAAGACAATGTGTGGTCTGTTCAAAAAGTTTCAGAACTTTTGAAATAGCACATCAACTTGACGTCTTAGCAATGTTAAGATACATTGTGCTGCCTAGTGACGTGCTTCCTAATTATCATCCTTTTTGCCATGTTATCCTGCTGTGATTAGTCATCACCCTAGAGCTATCTGTTCACATGCCTGTAGTGTGTCTTGTGATATGCGAGATGGCTGCTATTCATGTGCAGTGTATTAACATTAAATTTTGCTTCAAACTATGGAAAACGTTTATGGAGACTCATGAAATAATGAAAAACGTTTGCGGTGATCTGTGCATGAGCCCCGTTTGGCACAGCCCTCAACATCATGTGACGATGGTCATGTTGCGCATGCTCATGAAATTGTGCATTCTAACTGTCGTTTAACAGTGTGGGAAATAGCAGAAGGGCGAAACATATCGATAGGATCATGTCATGACATTCTTATGACAAAATTGGAAATGCATTGGGTAGTTTAATTAAAGTCTGTCCCACAACTTCTGACACAGGATCAGAGAGACAATGATGTTGCCATCTGTCAGGAACTTCTGGATCGCGCCAGCAAGGATGACAACTTTGTGAAAAGAATTATAACCAGAAATGAAACATGGATTTTTGGATACAATGTGGAAATGAAAATGCAGACTTCACAATGGGTTCAAAAAAAATTCGCTGACAGAAAAAGGCGTGGCAGGTCCGTCTTTTTTGACATTGAGGGTGTTGTGCATCATGAATTCTTACATCAAGGGCAAACAGTGGATCGCTGCTATTAACTCAAAGTGCTGAAACGTCTAAGAGAAAATGTCAGGAGAAAAAGGCCTCAGTTGTGGAAAACAACCCCTGATTCCTCCATCATGCATTCATGACCTACTGGCCAACACAAACACAACTGCGCTTCCTCAGCCACCCTACTCACCTGACCTGGCTCTAGCACACTTTTTCGTATTTTCCAAACTGAAATCCACTTTGAAAGGATGACGATTTCAAATGATTCAACAGATTACAAAAAATTCAGATGGAGCTACATGCAATCCCAAACAAAGACATACCAGGACTGTTTCCAGAAGTGGCAACAGCGTTGTGAGCAGTGCATCAATGCAGGAGGGGAGTACTTTGAAAGCAATAAGGCTCACTCAGATGCAGGCACATCCGAAAGAAGTGTGTGTGTGTGTGTGTGTGGGGGGGGGGGAACAGTTCTGAAACTTTTTGAACAGACCATGTACTGTTCATAACCACTGCGGTGAGAATCTTGAACCCTACTGGATCATAAACATGTTAACAATTACAAGTTCTGCTACCAGTGTCATATGGTGTTAGAAAAATCAGCAGCTGCATTAACGTGATATTCATCCAATTCTATTAATACTCTGGAAGAACGGGAAGAGGAAGGACACTAGGTACTGGTCTGATGTATGTGACACAAGCCTCTGCTTGGAATGCTTTTGAGATTACCACACCAAGCCCAATTTCTAAGGTAACACAAGAATGTTTTTCATAATTTTTGTAAGTCCACGGTGCCAGAAGTAATTTTGAAACAGTGTACATCAATATTCCGATTCTGTATACTTTTCTTAACATAGTGGGGGGAGGAAAAAAAAAACACAAACCCCTCCAAATTTGTTACAGTTCAAGATGTTGCATTTTCACGTTCTAATACTCCATTACCCTCCATCCTCAGGAATGCAATGTTATGCAGTGCTGAGGGGTTCATGAATTTTTACTGCAAGCAACTACACACCAAAATTTCTGGGTGAGGGGGAAACAATTCAGACTAATCCAGTTCCTATAATTGATGTTTTTTTGTTAAGGACAAAATCAGAAGCTTTGTATTCAAATTAGTACATAAAGATTGGTGTATTATCAGATCGTTCAAAATCTGAACCAAAGATCCTTTTTTTTTTAAACATCCCCACACTAATTATGGGTCCTGATGAAGCCTTTATATATCAGATGCAAGTAAATAAAGTATATATAGTGGAAACTATAAGCATATAGATATTACAGATCATCCTCTTTAGTAACAATTCAAGAAGAAAATATTCTTAAAGATTTGAGTATTACAAGAATGGTGACATTAAATTTAGGCCTACCACATAAACCCTGTCACTCTTAACTTTCAGCATTACAGTGAAGATAATATATAATCATATTTTTAAATTTACAAACAAGAAACAAATTATTAACTTTGTATATAAAACAAATACACACTTAACAAAATTATATACACATTCAGTTTGTAACAAAAACATATTTAAATTCAAAAGCATACCTCACACACTTTACCACATTCAGTTTCCATGTTCTACAGTACTTCAAATATGGAATGAAATGGTCTTGAACCACCATCCTTATCAACTGTTGAGAAATATACAGATCTCATAGAATGAATTCATTAATTTATAATGATTACAAATCTTTATAATTATTTCTCCTTTAGTAGTAACATATTTTTACCTATGACATCAGAGCCCAGAAACCAATTTATAAAAGCCTTTACACTGAATGCAACATGGGTATGTACTGCTATACTGTATGGTGCAGGTAGATTTAAATTTGTTACTTTCTACCACCATTAAAGGGATTTTCAATATGAAACAGATTCTGAGGAAATTCTATCTTAAGAAAATGGCACTAATATGTTTACAGTGCCAAAGCAAATTTTTCACAAATGAGTAAGACATATATTTAAATACTCAAAATTATAGTTAGGAAATATTCTGATGACATAATTTTAATAACATACCTTCTCGTACAACAGTACTATTAAAATCTGGTAACAATGACCCAGCAGAAAACTCAGAATTCTTTTCTGCGTACCCAATTGAAGCTCACTGCTATGAATAACACTGCTTTATAAAACATGAAGAATTATATTACAACCTATTAATACAAATTTAAAATACCAGTTACGTAAAAGATAGATAAGAACTTTTTTAAAAAATGAGACATTGTGAGATTTCAGATGACTATGACGAATAATGTGGACTGAAACTTGACACCATTTAGCCTGGTAGATATTTACCAGTGTTTCAGAAGAATGTGATGACTCCATCTCCATCCTACCTTAGGTAGAGGCAGCATATTCCTCTACAAAGTGCCACATCCTGGAAGACAGTATTTTCCTAATGAGATATTGTAAAACAAACACACTGTATCGAGTATATGTCGGATATATCAGAAGTATGTCATACTTCAATGAACTTTAAATTTAAGTCAGGCAGAAACAGCCCCACTGGAGGAATGTAGCATTGAATAGAGAAGAACAGCAAGGAATCCTGAGGAAGGCCAGGGCTCACAAAGGGCTGTCGTGCCAGTGATGATGATGATGATGATGACAAACAGCCCCAGCTATTGACAGGTCTTTAAAACCAATTGCCCTAATTCCAAAACTAAAAACTGTTCTCAAAACTGATACAGTATGAAGTTGTTTTGAAACTGCTGAAATGCTTCCTTAAAAGGGTTAGGTATTAAGCACAGGCAGTATTAAGGACAGTACATATATTACCACAGAACTTGGCCAATGAATGTCCCCACACTACAACAGATTCTGTTAGGCATTATAAGATCACTGTTCCACAGTCCACAAGATCAGTGTTTGTCTGACGTTTCACTTTTAGTTTGATCAATATCTGATCTGCTGATCTGGTACCATACTTAATTTCCTACAAACATGATGGTTAACTGCAGAGAAAATGAAACAGATGCATATTGAACAAATTTTCAATAACAGATTGCTTAATACTACTCACAAATATATGAAATTTTATGTGCGGGTAGGTTACTTTAAATACAGGTTCCTGCTCTTTTTTCATAGAACATAACCAAATTTAAGGAAAGGGGGCCAAACAAACAAACAAACAAACAAACATACAAACACTTCATTATTTTATGTCATGAAAATTCTTTTGAGTGTCTTTTAAGATATTTTCTCTAGCTGCCTTCTTTTAGATTAAAAATTCACATTCTACGGTTCAATATATGCCTCCTTAAATGCAAAATGGTTGGTGTGATGATTTATATAAACAAAGAGAATGTATACTGAATATGGCTTGAATTATCTATCTTTACATGTATACTGGCTAACTCGTTTACAGCTTCACCTGACCAGATTATACAATTCTAATTACAAACACTATAAGTGTTAAAATATTTAAATTGTTCCCATTTATGCAGATGAAAAAACATTTCTTTCACTTTTAAAGGTCACATTAATTTATGCAATTGAGTCTCTGGAAAATATTTTCATTAATTCTGTTCCACCAACTTTTCATTTAGTTTTGCTAACTTCTATAAACTGTATTAGCTCATTTATTTCTACAATGGCTCTTATTTAATCATCACATAATCTCAATTTCCCCTCATAAATAGCTACTGTGTTAATTGAAGTGTAAGATGCGGCAGTATAAAATGGACACCAATCGAGCCTTGCTGTTGTGAACATCATTCAAGAAAGTAAAGACTTTCAATGAGTTGGGTCAAATTACACTGATAATACAACTGATATAACTTTCTCCCATACTTCAGGTTTCATACTATGTCTTCCACATGTCAGAGTAGTATATGGATAATGGTTAATTTCAGCTTCCGCATGTCAGAGTAAACTTATGGATAATGGTTCATTTCAAACTTTTCTGTAATTTGACATAGGTAACATTTTCTTGAATTTCCTTGTGTAATTTTGCATTGCATGACACTATGTTAAACACGTAAGCCAAGATTTTGGGCTGAATTCCAAAACTTTTCCTCAAGAAAATAATTATTCTGATGACTTCTTTCTTTGTTTTAATGTCATTCAAGTAATATATTCTGATGTGGTATATAACTGTGTGGTGTCAATTTCATAAGAGTCCTATGATTCCCCAATGTTGTACCGGACATATGATGACATCAGAAGGCCATGGCAGCAGCATTTTGAGTTGTGCATTCACCAACGGTCATTCTATACATAGCCATTTCTGATATTCCATGATAATGCACAAAAGCTGCTGCAATCACTAGCACATGGAATATCTGGTGACTCTGAAACTGGTTTCAAAGAAACATTAATTAGTAACAGCTTCAAATTAAAATCAATTCTTATCAACCATACTAAATCTAAATACTGATTTCTGTATCATATATATATACTTCATTCAATCCATTATCTCTTCACAAACAACTAATGTAAGTAAGCATTTCTGAACTAATCATGTGTTCTTAGTACAGAATGTCACCTTCACTCCCACAGAAGCAATGAACTTCAGTCCTGTGCATGAATACAAAAAACTACAATGTTCTACAGTACTGAATATTTTCTTCCAAATGTATAGTGGTCTGGAAGGCGAAGCACATGGATGGTCTGACTAACAGACATGACCACTTCATAAGATGATGGTTAATGTGATGTAAAAATTTGACTGCATTTCATAAAAACAGAATTTTTATAGACAATTACATTTTTGAGATTTGGTACAATTATTAATTTCATCATTCACAAGAAAAGTAGTTTTGCTAGTTTTCATGCCAGATGATGATTTAACATCTTCTGAGGTGATAATTTTTTTCATAATGCACTCTTATCAAATTTTGATATGTAAGACAAGCCTTTTCAATTTAAAAAAGTTGAAAAACATCATCAAAATAATAGTACATGTGATTGAAGCTTTTCACTAATTCATATACTGAAAACTGAATTTAAGAATAACATCATTTTGGCCTTTTGTCACTATAAAGACAGCAACACTCACTACACAGGAAAACTTTTGAAAAAAGCCTCAAACAAGGTGCTTGTTTCTCAACATTAAGCAGTCCTTGATCTAACAGAACTGTTAAAGAAACACTGCAATATTTGTTTCCACTGATGTGATCCATAAACTTATTAATTCTATTTGGATTAAATAAGAATTGCCACAGCAGTGTAAGAATTTACTGCTCTGCTTAAAAGGATGATCAAGAAACTTACTGTCATAATTAGTGAGGCATATCACTGTTATAAACTACATAAAAAACTTTATCCAGCAATCTTCTCTCAAGGTTAAATCTGTATGCAGCCAAGATTATTCATGACCATCACTATGGATTTTAACATAACAGACAATGATAAGATATTATGCAATCATTGGGTACTGGACAAAAAAACTGGAATATGATGGGAAAGTATATTAGCTATATATATAAGGTTCAAGAAAGTCTCATGAATCGGTTAGGATGGAACTATTGTACAACAACTTAGGCAAATTAAATTTTTTCTAAAAAATATATATATATACACACACACACACACACACACATATATTTGTATAATCAACAAATAAGCAATTAACTCATCACTGCATTTGTGTCAATTGAGTTTATTAACTATGTTAAAATTACAATATTATATTTAAGCATCCTGTTGCACTCCATACGATAAATGATATAAACTCCGTCTTAAGTGCAAACAATATATTTTGTGTCTTTGATCTTGCTCCCTACACTACATGTTTCGGCCTCAGACGGCCATCATCAGGTGTATAACACTCACGTCGCTGTCACACTGCACC